TGTGGAGTGGGAGGGGAACTGTGGACCGGAAGAGTAAGAAAACATCTTAAAGTGCATCTGGACCCTTTGGGTGATGATCCTCTTACCTAAGGATTACCCTTGTATACTTCCTTGTGTAGCCCATATAGTCTCTGGGAGTCTTCATCAGAAACTGCACTCCCACTGGCATGTCCCAGGAGTTCATCTGTAAAATGAACAAAATGAGGCTTGGAGAGTAGGAGTGACTTGCCCAAAACACATTGCTAGGAAGTAGCAAATAATCTTGGTCCTTTCCAAATCCAGCGCTCTCCTCATTCCATCAACTGCCTTCAACTAAAGAGAGCTGAGAATTTGAAGTTATTATTCAACATTGCTAATAACCTTTTCCAAGTCCTTCTACAATCTCTCTCGTTAGAGTTAGAAGAAAAGTATAGGGAAGTGGGAAATATTTACATAAGCATAATGTGATATAGGGTGTCCCAAAAGTCTAAGCCATTAAAGCTTAAAACTACACTAAGATATTTGGGACACCCTATATGAAGTGAACTGAGGTTGGCTAGGAAGACCCTCATTCTGAATGAAGGATCTGTAGGGAAATCAAAGATTTTATTAATTATCTTGCTATTTATCCTAGCTACTCAATTCAGATCAGCACAGATTGTATCTACTGTGTGCAGATAACACTGTGATAGGTGCTGAGGAAGTTACCAAAGTTACATAAGACAAGGTCCCTGTCTTCACAGAACTTACAGAATAGCAGGGAACCCAGATACAAACACAGATAATGTCAACGATTCTTGAGAACTGCATTAGAAGGGTACAAAGGAGTGGAATTAGGAAAGATTGAGTTAAAAAAAGATGGTGTTTAAGATGAGCTTTTAGAAGACGGGTGGGAATTCAGTAAGGCAAACAAGAAGGAGAGGGCTTTGACTAAGTGTAAGCCTACAGCAGCCCACTACATGTAACAGGCTCAAATCCATCCAGCTGGCTCCCTGGACCATCTTGCCACCTGCCCTGACATCATAGCATACATCATTCTCCCACCCCAGCTTTCTACTTCTTGCATTGGGCAAAGAGATCAAGTCAATAGTATCATTCCTTCTTGGAAGGGATTATCACTTGACTTCCCTATGGCTCTACACAGGGGCTTCCCACACCTAAACTATCTTCCCTTTCCACCCCTTCCCTATATGTGTTGTCTTCCCCTATTAGAATGTATACTTACCCCTCCCCTGACAGAGAAGTGATCGACCAAAAATGAAGAATGAGCCTACCCATTTTTGGACATGGCTAATATGGAAATTTGTTTTCATTGACCATGCAGATTTGTTACATGAGGGTTTTTTTTTTCATTTTTAGGTGGGGGAAATGGAGGGAGAAAAAATAAATGCTTGATAACTGAAAAAATAAAATTTAATTGTAAAAAGAAAATAAGTTACATGTGGGTAAGACTGTTAAACATAAAGTGATATCAGAAGGGAATACAGGTTTCAGGGCTGGAGGAGGGGAGATAGTGAAAGTAGTTTTGGACATGTTAATGGTGGGCTCTGCAGAACCGTACTTACCCAACTTTTTATAGTCATTGTCCCTTAGTTTTGAGAGAAAATATCTGAAAGGCCACAAAGGGAGGAAAACCGTGAGCAGAAAGAGTTCCTACTGAAATGTTCATGAAAACATACCTCATTAAGACCTAGACATCACAAAGGGAGGGGAGGCAGTTTATCTAGTTTTTGACACCATGTCAAGGACTTTAGGACTAAGACCACAGGTAAGCAGCAAGATTCTTGCAGGGGTCCATTTGTGTAGAAAGAAGAGTACCTAGCTACTGTGAGTCCTGGGGGTGAGGCCAAATCAAAGGGGTCAGGATGAACCAGGGGCATGGGAAAAGCTGGGCATCTGAGCAGACAGACAGATACCTACCTCCAAGCCAGGCAGAGCATGAAGACTGCTTGGTTAGTGTCAGGTTTGATCTAGGATGGAGGGCACAGTCAGGAATGAAGTCCAGGTATGAAGACAGAAAACAAGGCTTAGAGCTCACGGTTCAGGCTGGTCACAGGGATCATAGGGACAAGGACAGGGATCTGACCTGTGATTTCACATGTATAGGAAACTCCCAGATGAAGAAGCCCTTTACCAATTTAGTTCAGCACCTCTTGCAATTTAGTCTTAGAATGCTGCTCAGACCAGATTTGTCAAATACGCTGCCCTCTCCCGAGTGGGCTTGAACCAGATTAAAATGGCATTGGGAAATATTTAATGAAATAAATAAAAATACAATAAAATATAGATAACATTACATTAAAAAATTAAGCCAATAGGTGGCCTGCAGGGATCCTTATGTACAGAGTAGTGGTCGCCACTTCTATTCAAATTTGACACCACTGATTGAGAACACTTGCGCAGGGTCACAGCCAGTGTTTGTCAGAGATTGGACTGGAATACAGATCTCACTGTGCAGAAACTGCCTACAATCACAGCTTTAGAGATGGAAGGGATCCCACTGGCCAGTTAGTCCAGCCCCCTCTTTAAAAAACTAGTCCAAGACCACACAGATTCAGAAGTGGGATTCGAACCAAGAGCCTCTGCCTCCAGAGGCACCCACTATAGGTACATATGTAACAAAGGTGACATGTAAAGCCTGGGATGAGCATCTCAGGAGCCTGAATAAGTGGTAAGGTGCATGTGGTACAAGTAGGGTAGGACTGCCTATGATGAGACAGTCTGTGTTCTCCCACAGCTGTGGGGGAAAGCTAAGGGCTGGCAGGTGCATGTGGCTCTCCCGAGTGAGGCCGGACCCTGCAGGAGCTGGTAATGGTAGCAGAGGGTCAGGCCCTCTGGGAACCCCATACAGCGTCAACAAAAATTATTCAAGAAAAAAATGACAAAAGAGAATAAAGCACAACCTTTCTTGGACAAGTGGCTTTTCTATAGTCCTTTAAGGTTTACAAAACACTCTCCTCACAACAACCCTGTGAGGTAGGCAGAGCAAGTGTTAAAGGCAGCCCAGAGCCGAGAGAGGCGTCAGAATGCAGGATTTGAACTGATGTCTCCAGATCTCAAGTCCAACACCCACGGAGGGTGCCACACTGCCTTGGAACACCAGAGATGTTTCTTTTTCGCCTATGTGGTACCAACTGGCTGTATACCTCGATGAATTCAATAGGTCTCTACTTCACTCTGCCAAAGTAGGCAGAGAGATTCAGGGTGACTGACATTTCCTACTGCGTGGATCATTGGAACAAATTCTTCTACCCAAATCAACAATACGACTGACCTTTCAGCTTGAAGATAAAGACGACCAGGAAAACAACTGGCAACGCTCTGCTGCTTCCATTGGTGAGAGAAGGCAACCTTGAAAACCCTGGGCTGAGCTGGGGCCTAGTGCCTCTGATCTTTCACTTCTTTCCAGTCAATTCAATTCAATTCCAGTTCAATTCAATTCAATCCAATCCAATTTAATCTAATCCAACAAACATTTGTTAAAGCACCTACAATATATTCAAGGCACTGTGGTGGGTGCTGAGATACAAAGAAAAAAATTAAATTTCCTGCCCACGAGGAGCTTACAATCTACCCAGATGAGTAAAAAAAAAACCGAGGTAAATCAAAGAGAGAGGATGCTGACAATGGGAGGGGGGAGGGGGAGTCAGAGAAGGTTTCTAAGTAGATACACTCCATCCTTCCCCAACTAGCCTGCTTCCTATTACTCCTGCCCCTACACAGGTAAAAGTTTAATCAACAGCTTCTAACTTGGTGATTCATAATATCTAGCCAGTAACAATTAAAGGAGTATAATGACAAATACATGGTTAATTTAATCTCAAGGGCAGTTGAACTACCTATTTTGCATGGAGAGGTGGTGGCCCTTTCTAATATTTCAGTGTTAAATGTACGGAAAATGTTTTAGTATTGCTTAATTTAGCTCAAATTAATAAAATCCACATTAAAAGAACAGAAAATGTTTTAGCAGTATTAAAATTAAATTCACTAAGTTAATAAAATCGACTTTACAATGAACGGAAAATGCTTAAGGATTATTAATGATAATAAATAGTCACTGATGAGCTGTGATCTACTTTATTGGAGGGATTACCCACATTATTAAGATCACAGATTAATTTGAGTTTAAGTAATAATAATAATAACCAACATTTATTTAACTGCTTTAAAGTTTGCAAAGCATTTTACAGTATTTTACAGTAGGGGTGATACAGTAGATGGAGTGCTAGTGCTGGAGTCAGGAAGATCTGAGTTCAAATTTGAGCCCAGACACTTACTAGTCATGTCATTTAACTGGCATTCAACTAGGCAAGTCATTTAATTGCTGCTTGCCTCAGTTTCCTCATCTTTAAAAAGGAGATAATAATAGCACCTAACCCCCAGGATTAGTGCGAGGATCCAGTGAGATAATATTTGTAAAGTGCTTACTTAGCACAATGCCTGGCACATAGTAGGCACTATGTAAATGTTGGTTATCATTATTACATTACAGTGTTTATTAAGAAAATTGTTTAGAGGAAAGGCAGACTCTTTTTTCTTTTTTCAATTAACAAAAAAGAAATTAGATTTAAAAAACCAAATAAAATTTTTTTCTTATCATCAAGATCTAAACCATTTTGATCAATTCACTTGAAGAAATTCAGCAATTCTCAGTAGCTTCAGTATAATAGACAAGGTACATGAGCACTTCCCCTATTTCCCAAGGGATGCCTCTTGAACTATAGACAGAGAAATGGATACTAGGTCAAGGAAAAGAACTCTCATCCTCACATCCTAAAGCTGACATCTTCCAATAAAGAAGCCTGAAAGAACTCTGGAAATCTAGTCCACCCTCCTTCTTTTAAAAAAGAGGGATCTATCTCTTTTCTACTACATTTTTTCAAGGTACCAAAAGGGAATGGGGGCTTGGGAACAAATGTCTTCATAGAAGATAAAACATAGCCACACTTGTTTCGAAGTTTCAAAGAAAAAAATTTATTTACAATAGAGAATTTTATTTGAAACATGCATTTTTCTTTTTCTTTTGTGTGTGTGTTTTTTTTAAAACAAATCAGCAAATGCGGATCAAGTTTACACTCCTTAAGGCAAGAGTCCCCATGCAAAGTTATACATGTTCATATTAAATCCAAAAGACACCCAACATGGGAACTCATGTACAAAGGGATAAGCTAGGATCAGCAATTTGTCATTTATTAGAGAATTTGACAATCTCCCTGATACAGGAACTCTGAGATCAACTTGCTATGAATTATACTATGAAAATGCAAACAATAGCAAGAAATTCTGATAGTCTTCTGAGAACTGCATACAATTAAATCAACTTTATTTAGAAAGAAAATACAGTAGTGCATACGAAAAAGTGAAAATATAACCTGTCCACATAAAGGTATGGACATCAGTGTGCCAATGGTCATATTGCACTCAATAGTGTAGTCCAAAAATTTGGTTCAAAGTTAGCTTTTCCCCATTTTGGCAATCAGTTCATCACAAATCTTGGTAAGTTCTTCTATTTCTTTATTCTGAAAGTGAAGGAAAGAAAGTGACTATTAATTGGAATAAAATATTCATCTTGGCTCCTTTTGGGGTTCTTATCCACTATGCCCTCCTGTTCCCTAGAATTACTTGTTTGATATATATGGAATCCAGGGGAGGAGTTAACTCACACTGGTGAGCATTGCTGAGAAATATCAGAAAATAAAGAATTAAGTAGTTCTATGTAGATTGGTGTTAGCACTGCTTCTGCTGGATCCTTACACCAGAAAATGCAACAAAATTGCTGAATTGAGATTCTAGACTCTAACGTACATTGGACTGTAGAAGGAGGCTAAATGGCATGCAGATCTTTCCAGTTCCTTAGTTAGCTTGTTTTTTAAGCATCTAAAAGTATGCACAAATTACTGATAGATGCTTCAACAGCCCCCCTCCCGTCAGAATAATCTTGTATTTTCATGAACAAAAAAATGAGAAATTTCCTCCTCTCCCTATCCCTGAAAGATCAGTTGTCTTCTAAAGGCCAATCAAATGCAAATCCTCCCACAAACAATTTCTCCAAGTAACTAGAAAATAATTGGTCTCAGTGGGAGGCACCCGGTTCAACTATCAGTGACAACTCTGATTATCTAGAAACATTTCTGAGCCTTCTACCAGAGGGATTACTGGTACATTAATCTGCATCCACAGTTGGCATGTCACTTTGCTAAATTATATACATCACCTATCTCTACATGTTTAGAAAATATCAGGGATTCTCTCCTCCCTCTTACTCTCCCTCTACTCCCCAAGTAGGAACTAATCACTCCACATATTTCCAAGTATTTGATTAAGCAGATAAAGTTGAATTAGGTCTCAGTAGACATCTTGCTGTTAAAACTCACCCATTCATTCAACAACTATTTATTAAGCATTTCTACGTGCAGCCTCTCCTCTTATATTCTAATGCCTCGTGTTAGCGTGAACTTGACTGTGGGCTTAAGTTCAGAAGGGCTCATAATGAGAAAGCTGCCCAAGAGGTGATGGTTTTTTTCTCTCATAGGAATTCCATCTTCTCTATCTGGAAGATTGATTACTAATGTATGGATGGGCTATGATCTACATTGGCTGAGGGAGTACCATAACCAACAGCTAGGGCTGGAGTACTGGGCCTGTAGTCAGGAAGACTTGAGTTCAAGTCCAGCCTCAGACATTAGATGTGTGATCCTGGCCAAGTCACTTCACCTCTGTCTGCCTCAGTCTCATCAACTGTAAAATTGAGATAACAATAGCCTTTTCCTCACAGGATTGTTGTAGGAATCAAATGGGATATTTGTAAAGCACTTAGTACAGTGCCTGGTACATAGTCGGTACTTTATACATGCTTGTTCTCTTCCTTTTCCCACCAACAATATCACAAATCTCAGAAATAGCGAAGATGCCCTATGAATAGACTCTGTGGTAAGCAATGGGGGAGATGGAAAGATAACTAAGATACGGGACACCTGGTGTCATGGAGCTCATATTCCAGTTAGGGAAGGGAAAAATCATTAGTAGGGAAGATACAGTATATGGAAGTATGCAAAACTGGAAAACAAATGTGCACTAGTTACATGTTAGCCACAGTGAAGAATAAAATACGACATAAACATAAGAGGTATGAAGGGCTATGCAAGGTCTAAGGAAAAAAGCACATGTGCGCATTGGCATCTGAGCTGAATGGCATCCCTGGTCCTGGTCACCAGGACAGGCACTAAGTGTGGTTTACCTCACATTTGACCTCAAAATTACAGACTATTAAATCTGTTGGTCATGTTCATAAAACTCTCTGCTAGCTCTCTTCTCAATAAGTTATCAATGTGGGAAATTCAAAGGTTCTACAAGTTGGAAGAGAAGCTTCTGCTCTAACCTGACATTTTTAAAAAAATCATCTGTGTCTAGAAGTGGCCTTACAAGCAGTTGGATTTTTTTTTTTGCGCTTTGTGGTGAGGCAATTGGGGTTAAGTGACTTTCCCAGGGTCACAAAGCTACTAAGTGTCAAGTGTCTGAGGCCGGATTTGAACTCAGGTCCTCCTGACTTCAAGGCTTTAGCTCTATCCACTGTGCCACCTAGCTGCCCTGTAGCTGGATTTTTTTGATTAGACATCATTAGAAAGAACATTTTAGCAACAGTTACATGAACATTAAGTCGTCTTTCAACAGACGTCCACCAATATTTAAATAATCAAGCTTAGACCACCTTATTTGACAGCTAAACTTTTTGTGCTTAAGGAGTGTATTTTTGCCACCACATGATCCTGGAGGGACCAATAAAGTATAAATCTTCTTAAAATAAGGTTTATTCAACAACATTTATTAAATGCTTACTATGTCAACACATGGTGACTGCTGACACACTATTGGACCATACTGAAATTCTTTATGGAAGCGGAAAACAACTGATAGTATCTTTCCTAAGCATGTTTCCACTTAACGCCACCTCTTTCAGAAACTTTGGGATCTCAACCAATCACTTGTAGGAAAGACTGAGAATATTTAAAATTCCTTTCTGAGACAAAAAAAATACTCTCTGGAGGTGAGGGAAGGAAGAGGCAGGGAGCAGGGTAGTGGGAATCCCTGGCTGCTCATGCTAATGCTGAAATATGTTGGCCTGCTTGCTGAGCAAGAATATATGTCTAGGTCTGAAGCTTCTACAAAAAAAGGCTGTATTGCCTCCCTCATATCTCATCTCTAAAGCTGGGACTCTGATTTTAATCCAAAGAAAAGAAAGGCAGTAATACATATCTTTGTTAGAGGACTAGATCATGAACTGAATGTAGCCTCAAACCTGTTCAAATAATTTTACGTTTCTGCTTATATTTAGTTCCAGGAAATATACATACATACATATATACATATATATGTGTGTGTGTGTGTGTGTGTGTATATGTATATATATGTACACACACCACACACATATATATACATATACACATATACACACACATGTATATATGTGTATATGTGTGTATATCTATTTATCTATCTATCTATCTATCTATCTATCTATCTATCTATCTATCTATCTATCTTCCTCTACATTTGAATTTACATGTCAGAAAATGAAAACAATGTAAGCTCCATTGCTTCTCTTTTTGCCTTAGCTGCCTAAAAACCTAGAGCCAAATTTAATACCCAAGTATGTTCATTCTCAATTAAGGCCTCTCAAATTATCTACTCCTTCGACTCTTTTGTATGTTTTACCATCTGCCTCAAGTCCTGTTGAAAGTAGGTAGGCACATGCACTGTCTTAAGCTGGGCAGGCAATTGTCCCACTATACTCTGCCGTTGCCAGACCTCATCTGTACTGGGTTCCATTCTGAGTGAGCCTAAGGGAGGACACTGCTAAGAGAGGAAAGTGTTAAGAGAAAAACAACCAGGATGACGAAGGACCTTGAGTCCTTGTAACATGACGATTTGTTAAAGGCACTGTGTGGGTTTAGTCCGAAGAGAAAAGAAAACTCAGAGGGGCCATGGCAGCTGTTCCCAAGGATCTGAAGGGCTGTCATGTGCCGGAGGGATCACACTCCTTTTGTTTGACCCCAGAGGGCAGAACCAGGAGCCATGGGTGGAAGTTACAAAGAGGATGATGTAGTCTAAATGTCAGGAAATACTTCTTTGACATTGAGTAGTGACTCAATGACTGTTTTTAAAGTATGTTATAGTGGAGATCCTCTTTGTGCATGGGTTAAATCAGATGCCCACTGAGGTCCCCTCTAACACTCAAATTTTGTGATTCTTTGATTTTTCTTTTTTGATCAGCTGATAGTCACTATCGGTACCATAAACGAATTCATTCTTTTTTAAAGTTAGAATACAATGAAAATAACCTTGCCCCTAAAACTGTAACATAAGTGAATCTTTCTTTCCTGACTATGTAGGATTTTAGGATCTTGCAGGGCTCGGGGCTGTCACCGTGAGCATCAGTTATCACTGCAAAATCACAGAGATGTGAAAACTATACAAAGCTATGTGTACTGACCCTGTGGCATACTCTGGAGACTGACTTTAAATCTACCTCTCCTATCAGTTTATTTGTTTGATGTATCTCTTTCTTTATAAAAAATTGATAACTGGTGAAATATGAAAAAAATCTAGTTATCTAAGCTTTCTGGTTGCTCTAATGCTGTATAAAAGAAGTAACTTACTACAAGGCAGTAGGTTAAAATGATGTAGTGAAATTAAGTAGCATAGGAGAATGAAACATTATTGTTTTTCCACAGCTGAAAGGGGCATTAGAAATTCCATTGTCCAACTTCTCATTTTACAAATGAGCAAGCTTGAGGCCCAGAGAGTTGAAGCAAGTTGCCTAAAGCCCTAGAGATGATTAGCATTGGATTTTAAACTAGAACAAAGACCTGCTGTCTCCCAGACCAACGTTTTTCCCGTATATCATTAAAGTTAAGTAATAGTTGGTAGCTGTCAAGAGATCCCAGTTCTCTGTCTTAGTTCACCTTCATTCCTTCACGAAGTAAATGAGGAACTGCATTTATTCACTGATTTCAATGGGGTCTCTCGACTTCATTTAAGAAGTTTAACTTTTGTTTATGTCATGGACCCCCTTGGCAATCTGGTAAAACCTATGGATTTTTCTCAGAAGAATGGTTTTAAATACATAAAATGCATAAGATTATAAAAGGAAGCTGACTACACTGAAGTGTAGTTATCAAAATACTAAACAAAAGAAAACAAGTTTACCACACCCAGTTTAAGAACTTTAACCCTGAAGAGAATAAGGATTGAGATTCTCAAAATGAAGAATTCCTAGCTGTCTCTCCAAGGCAACTTTGGAAGAGATGCTAGAATACTGATGTCTGCATGCACAGAATTCAGATTAATGGGCACATAAACAAGTAGGCACATTCTCTCCAAGGATAACTAGATAAATCTTCACAAGGTAGAAGGGTTCTGGGAAATTTCTAGGGGTGTCTCCATACTGGAAAAGTGCATCATAATATAATTCTGGACTGAGAGTCTGAAGAGCTAGGTTCAATATCTGTGTAGCCTTGGCAAAGTCATTCAATTTAATTGGACCTGTTTCTTCTTCTGTAAAATGACAGGGTAGACTAGACCAAAGGTCTTAACTCTTTTTGTGCCATGAACCCTTTTGTCCTTCTGGTGAAGCCTGTGAACCCCTGGAATACTGTTTTTAAATAACTAAAGAAAATGATAACCTTCAGTTAGAGTTAGTTTTTTTTTTCACCCATGCTCAGAGACATCCTGAAATCTATCCATGGATCCCAGATTAAGAACTCCTAGATATGATAATTTGTAAAGGATTATTGCATCATAGCAGGCAGCTAGGTGGCACAATGGATAGAGTGTCAGAAGGTGGCAGCCACAGTATCGCAGGTGGATCGGCACACTGGCAAACACCACATCTCCAAGGAGACTTTACTTTGGGAACACAACGAAGTCACTTAATAAATTACCTTTTGTTCCAGTGTTCTTTCCAGAGCATCTACCTTCAGCTGCTCCTTTCGGAGACTGGCCTGGTAGGCTGCTTGCTCCTGCTGAGCCTTTCCTCGGACTTGTGCAATCTCGGCGTTGGCTCTGTGGGAATACATGATGCACAGATGGATATTATCCATTAAGGAAACTTTAATATTTCCACTTGCCTTTCTATAATTCAATTCAATATTGTATTATATTATGTTTATTATATTGTTACCAAGAGGCTACATATTATAGTGAATTGAGAGCTGGGCTTAAATTCAGGAAGTAATGGCTGTATGATTGTAGGCAAGCCAATAAACCTGTCAGTACTGCAGGCAACTCTGAGATCAATCAACCAATCAATAAATCTCTATTAAGTGCCTGCTATATGCCAGGTGTTGGAGATACAAATCAAATGCACGAACAACCAAAACTCACAAGGACCTTCCATTCTAACTACTCTAAATTACATAGAACTGCTAATGAAGAATTCTACCCACTTTCATTAGCAATTCTCTGGAATTGTGATTGATCACCATGCTGAGCAGAGTTCTTTTCTTTATTTAAAATTTTATTTTTATTTTCAGTTCCATATTCTCTCCCTACCTTCATCCCCTCCCATCGAGAAGGGAAGAAGTGCGATATTCATTATTACATATACAATTGATCAGAGTTCTTAATTCTTTCCAAATTGTTCATTTTTACAATGTTGTTGTTATTGTATAAATTGTTCTCTTGCTTTTGCTCACTTCACTCTGCATCAGTTCACAGAAGCCTCCTCTGAACACATCCAGCAAGGAGACTTTAGATGGAGGGGGCTGCCTGGACCTGAACTGACTCTTGCTCATGATAACCAAGACACCATAACTGAAAGCAAGACAGCAAGGAGCAAAATGGTATCAAGACTATTTCCACATTCTAGAAGTCTGCAATGCCCACTTTTTCTGGATATTTTGCCTTTAACAAGGGGTAAGATAATTTCTCGAGTGGTTTTAAGTATAGCTGGAGTGTGGGAAGATTGCAATTCTACCTCTGGTATTTTCTTGGCTTGTTCCTCATAATATGCCTTCACTACTGCCTGGCCAGAGTCACATTTCTTTTCTTAATGCCAATTATCAACATAGCAAATAATGCTCTTAAAACATTTGACTTTCAAAAAATCCTAGAAACATTTGAGAGACAACCTGGATTAGGAAGAAAACTTGGATTCTATTCAAAAGGAAAATGGTGTCACTCTCAGAATCAAGTGTATGTTAGTAGGTTTTTGGGAAATCACCTCTCCCTTCTCACCTCCCAAATCAAGTGTGTGGCCCAATTAGACTGGTTAATATTACAAGCTAAGAAAATTTTCTGTAAAAGGTTTAAATTCCATAGAATAAGGTAAATATTTCCATAGATTATCTTTGAAAATATTTTGATAATTTGTTCCACCTAGGAAAATGTGTTTATACATGCATTCAATAATTTATTCAATCTAGGAAGTTATGTTTACACATATTTATGCATATGTATGCAGAATTTATTTCTGCAAATCCAGGGATCTGAATGCTATCTTGCTGCCTTCCTCAGTCACGCTGATTTGTTATTGTAGGGATTTCCCCAAGAAAAGTGAATAACAAATATTTATCTTTAAAAGCAAGAGCATAAATTCCTATGGCATGAATTTGTTTTAATAAATTTATATAGATAAACTGGTAAATCTATACTATACAGATTCTCTTGATTTTTTTTATAAGTACTCAGTAAGAACAGTCAATCAATTATCATTTACTTAACTCTTACTTTTGGCAGGCATGGTATTAAGTACTAGGGATACAAAGAAAGGCAAAAAAAAATCATTCTTCCTCTTGAGGCAATCACAGTCTAATGGTGGAGACAACATGCAAACAATGATATACAAACATACATACAGGATAAACTGGGGGTAGTCTCAGAAAAAAAGGTACTGAGATTAAAATTAAGAAAGGCAGAAGGTGGGACTATAGCTGAGATTTGAAGGAAGCCAGGGGAGCTAGGAGGTGGAGATGAAAAGGGAGAATGTTCCAGGCCTGGGAGACAGCCAGTGAAAATACTGAGATTCAGAACCGGGAGCTTCTTGTGGGAGAGACAGCAAGGAAGCCAGTGTCACAGGGAAGAAGCGATGGAAAGGTTGTGAAGGGCTCTCAAAGACAAACACAGTATTTTATATTTGATTCTGGAGGTGATAGGGAGCCACTGAAGCTGATTAAACAGGAGAATAAGACGGAGCTGGGTTTTGGGAAGATTTGTATGACAGCTGAATGGAAGCGATTGGAGTGGGAAAAATAGAAACAGGGAGACCCGCCAGCAGGCTACCCCATTTGTCCAGGTGTAAGGCGACAAGGACCTGCATCAGAGTTGTAATAGTGTCAGAGGAGAGAAACAGGCATCTTCAAGAGATGGTTCATTTAAAGTCACTTGTATTTGTGATTCAGTTACCCTTTACTGAAATTGGTTTCAGTGAGAGCCACAGTTGCACTAGGTTTAACAAACATCATACCTATGGTCTCAACATAAAAATCACCATATGGGGTCAGACATGTTCCATCCAGATTAACTGTCTCATATAAGGACTTAAAAACCCTTTTTCCCCAGTCATAATTTGCTCTACATTACTTTGTATGTGCTTTTTAAAAAAAAATTACGTTTGTATCTTTTAATATGGCAACAATATCACAATTTATCCAGCCATTTTCCAGTGGTTGGAGGTATAGTATGTTTACAGTTTCTCATTATTAAAAGTAAAGCAACTATGAATTTTAAAAAAAGAGAGATGGTTCAAAGGGAGAAAGCGTAGGACTTGATCACTGACTGGACATAGGGAAGTGAGAGAGAGTGAAGAGGCAAGGGTGACACATTGAAAAAGAATTTACCTGTCCAGTTTTTCCTCTGCATGTACTTTGAGTGCCTGGTACCTCTGCTCCTCTTTTTTCACACGGGACAGATACTCCTGAGCACATTTTTTTAGCACCTCTTCATTCTAAGACAGGAAGGAAAATGACGTCAGATCCCAGGGGCAAAAAGAAACCCATAAACATGAAGAGTAAACTGGAGACCTCACTGCTCCCAGCAGAAGCAAAACCGCTTGACTCCCTAGTTCTATAGCTAATTTTAACCCACCTTTGACTGTTTATTCAAAAATCTTTCCATAAGAGCATCTAGTTAACTCATTCCTTTTCCTCACAGGAATCATTTTTCCTAACTCAAAACACTTTGTTCCTTCTCATTTTGGTGCTCCCTGCACACAGTCACCAATACCCAATTCTGAACCAAATGTATTAAAAACAAAACCTGACATTTACATAGCACCTAAAGATTTGCAAATGTTTTAAATATGTTATCTGAGGCTCACATACAACTAATAAGTGTCAAGGACAGAATTCAGATCAAGGCTTCTCCTGACTCTGAAACCAGTACATCAGCTCAGGAAACAAAAAGCATTGTGGCAGAATGGATAGAGAATTGCACTTAAAGTCAGGAAGACCTGGGTTCAAGTCTCACCTCAGACATATAATAGCTACATGGCCTTAGGCAATTTACTGAACCCCTCTGTGCCTCAGTGCCCTCATCTGTAAAATGAAAGGGTTAGAACTTTGGGTCTCTAAATCTATGATATTATGATCTGTGAGTATGTTCTTATGCAACTCCCCATGTCCACTAGAAAATAAATCTGAGGTAAGAAGAACTCAATCCAACATTTACTTAATACCTCTGAGCAAAACATAATGCTAAGAGCCACACGTGCCGATTCCTGAAACATACCTTGCGGAAACCCTCCAGGACCTCTTTCATTTTTTCATATCTCCTAAAAAGATCAGCTAAAGATTTTTCCACTGAGTTCAGGTCAGCCAAGGCTTGCTCCTTCTCCACAATCAGCTGCTGGACAGTATGGTGGGAGACCGACTTTTCTCTCTGTTCATCCTCTGGTTCAAAAATAGAAATAGCCGAACAATTGAGCCTGTGGCTTATGCACTGCTTCACTCACAGTCTTGCTGCATGTAACTGAACCTAATGAGCAATATTCTATGTTACTATATGTTTTGAGACAGAATGGCTTTCTAAAAGCTACTCTCCCTTTCAAGTAGAAAAATGAAGGAATGCCAGCCAAATGAATATTGGGCCTGAGTCTTTAGATCATTGGTGAAGGGGAAACTTGACAACTATCTTTTTTTAATCAACTTTAAACATTTAGTAAGCACTAAGGCTAAAGAACTATGGGAGATACCAAAGTTAAGTAAGACAGTCCACGCAGTGACAGAGCTGATAATCTACAAGGAAAGAGGTACAACACATACACAAAGAATTGTCACTAAGATGAGACAGGACACATACATAAAGAGTCGTATACCATATGCTTCCTGGAGAGGAAGTTACTGATTGGGGAGGATCAGGGAAGCCTTCATGGATGAGATGGTATTTGGGATTGTAGCTTTAAAGAATGAATAGGATTTAAATAGGTGCATGTAGGAGTGCAGTGAGGGATATTCCAGGCATAGTGAACAGCACTAGCAAAGGCACATGGGTTATACAACACAGGGCATCATTGGGTGACAGCAAATATCTGATTTGGTGAATGAGTCAGGGAATAGTGGGAGGTTAAGTCTGGTCAGACATGGTCTTAACAGCTTGTAGAAAGCCTCCAATATCAAGAAAAAGGAAGGTGACAAGGAGTCATTGAAGAGCATGTGTAAGGCAGATCAATATGGCAACAATATGGAGGATGGATTAAAGAGGAAAAAGGAGGGGGACACCAGGATAGTGAAGGCCTTTGAGTTGATGATGATATGAGGGTTGGTTATGAAAGCTGGTTGAAGTTTGAAGTTATTCAGTCTGGAAAGACTAAAAGACTGAGTGGGGATGTCAAGGGCTATCATATGTAAGAAGGATTAGATTTGTTTTCCTTTATTTAGAGGCCAGATATACACCATATATAGCTATACTATAGGGCAGGGTCCTTTTATGTATGGGTTGGCTTATATGGCTGATGAGACCCCTTTCCATTCTCAAAATCTGTTATTCTTGGAACTCAAGATGTAGAACTGACAAAAACGGATAATTCATTGGACATACGGAGAAGGAAAAGCCAAAATTAATATCAAAGCTTCAAAGACAAGTGACTAGATAAATGATATCACCATTGTCTAAAACAGAGATACTGATATAGGGCTCAGTTGTTGGTAAGGGGAGGCAAAAGATAATAAGATTGATTTGCGACAGGTTAAATCTGAGGGGCTAGGGAAACATCCACGTGAAATGGTCTTGGTTAGATTGTCTGAATTTGGCAGAAAGGCTGGGACTAGAAATATGGTTTTAAAAGTCATTTGGGTAGAAATGATAGTTGAAGTCATTGGAATGAATGAGTTTTAGAGGGAAAAGAAAAGACACCTGAGAACAGTCTTGAAAACAGACAGAATTGAGGAGCTGGGTAAGGACTAAAGAATTCAGAGGAAAGCAAAGGGGAGATAAAAGGAGTGGTTAGAGAGTTAAACAGAAGTGTCTCAGAAGCTGATTGAGTGTGAAAGATTGTGTTCAGAAACAGGAAATTGTCAACGGTCCCAAAAGATAGGGAGAGCTCAAGGAAAAGAGAACTGAGATAATTCTTCTGGATTTAACAAGGAAGTGACTGCTGACCATTAGGAGTATCATTAGTAGTGTGGACAGAAGCCAATGAACAAGGGGAGAGAAAGAAGCTGAGTTTTGGGGTAAGGATTGCTTTTTTCAAGGAATTAGATGGTAAAAGGAAAAAGAGATGGGTTGGTAGTGTCATGGAAGTAGAATGGTTGAGGGAAGGTTTTTATAGGATTGAAGATACATGAGTACATTTGTAGGCAGATAGGAAAGAACCAATGGAAAGGGAAAGCCTGAAGATAAGAAAGAGTGGAAACAACAAAGTGGGTGGGAAGCAAAATAGGGAGGAAGGGGCAGCGACAGAAAGAAGAAGTGGAGGGAGGGAGGAAGAAGGAATAGATGGAATTGAAGGTACAGGTAGAGTGGTTTGTCTGGATAAAGAGCAAGGACACTTGATCTTTTAAGAGAGGAAATAGAAAATAGGGGAGGTATGGCTAAATAGCAGCTCATTGGAAAAAAAATCTAGGGACTTTAGCAGACCACAAACTCAACGAAGGTCAATAATGTGCTGTGGCAGCCAAAATATTAGAGTGATCTTAGGCTGCATTAAGAGAGACAAAGTCTCCAGCATGTAAGAAGAGATGATCCTGCTGTTCTCTGCCCTGGTTAGAACACATCTAGAGTGTAGGGTTCAGTTCTTGGTGCCACATTTTAACAACGACACTAATATACTGGCATGGAAGAGAGCCACCAGAACAGGGATGTCAAATGCTGACCATGACTTATGAGATCAGCTGAAAGAAGTGGAATATTTAGTTTAAAGAACAGATAACTTAGGGAGAGCATGGTAGCTGTTTTCAAGTTTTTAAAGGCTATCAATTAGAAGATGGATTAGACTTTTTCTGCTTGGCCCCAGAGGCTAGAACCAGCTACAGAGAAGCAGCATTGAGCTTAACCACTAGAGTTATAAAAAAAATTGGAATGGGTTTTCTCAGGAGGTGAGGGGCTCCTGACCCTCACTAGATATCTTCAAGTATAGTCTAGAGATAACCATTTGTTGAGGTTACTGCAAAGAAGATTCTTCTTGGTCAAGGAAAAATTCAACTAAATGACCTCTGAAGGCTTGATTCCATAAAAACATTACATTTTGTACTAGAACCCAATCCCTGGATCAAAGTCTCATATGGCTATAGTGTGTAGGTAGTTCTATCACCATCTAAATGAAAAGGAAATAAGTGAAAAAAAAAGAAATTGTGTGCTCCTTCCAGTATGAGTAAGAGATAAAGCCAGCTTAATTGTCTTACACTTAGAATCTAGTTAACAATGTCTCCTAAAGAAACCCAGGAGCTTGCTTTGGGACAGTGGAAGTGCTAACTTCTGTGTTAACTGGGCTATTTATTTTAAACAAAGGTATGACTTTCATAGTATAGGGCTCTAAAATGAGACTAACTCTGTGAGAGACTGCCTCAGGTAAAGCAATTCAATTGTCCCTGGTCTTCCCATGCCAACAAGCTTTTGCCCTACTTAATGTTCCTTTCCACCATTTCTTCCTGGGATTATTTTTAGACTAGAGTCTGATCAGGAAATTACACTTGTCTTTCCATCAGGACTAACCCCCCCTCAAGCTCATATCACTTTACAACTGTTAAATTGAAATTTGGCTGTGACCTTTCCACTGGGAATAAGTTTATTATTTTTTTTGCACAGAATTTTTACTTCTTGATTTTAGCTTTTACTCTGACAAGATGACTCAACAGAAAGGAGAAAGCAGCTATATATAGAATTACCCACTGGGACCTCCATTGTGAAAATGGAAACATTATCCCCAACGTCTCAGCTCAAACTAGGTGTTGAGGTACACCGAATGAAGTCAAAGCTTGCCTTGCACTGTGCTAGAGGGCCACAGTGGAAAGGGAACATACAAACCCTAGTTGTGACCTAAAAGGGCTCATTTTACAGAGGTGGTAGTTAGTTCTACTTTAAAGTAGACTCAAAGGCTATAACTCATACCAAGATGTCTCTTTTTCTTCCTGTGAATTAGAAAGACATTTGGGGATGCCTTAAATTCCCAAATTTATAGAAACCCAGTTCCCCTAATTGGTGGAGTTCATTTTCCTTGATTCAGGAGAGCTTGGTTGAATCTTGGAATTCAGCACAATCTTCTTCTATTTAAGAAGTGAAGACAGTGTCTTGTAGTGGAAAGATGAGTGGGCTGAGGGGCAGGAGACCTGAGTTTTCATCCAGCTCTGCTGCCCTCTAACTGTGTGACCCCAAGCTGTCATGTTATCACAATGGACCACAATTTCCTCATCTCTTTGAGAGAGCTGAACTAGATTATCTCTAAGGCTTCTTCCAATTCTTAAATGTTATAAGTTTGAGAAAAATTTACTACCAGAAATCCTAGAGGAACCTTGTTGCAACTGTTGAACCATAATTTCACAGCACACGTGCTCCATATTGTAAAGTTCTAGAGTGCTATGAAATAAAGAGATCAGTATCTAATAAGGCCAAAAATAAAAGAAGAAATCTAAGATCCGCCCCCATAACTTTTTAAAGTTTCATCTAGAGGCACAATAAATAAAAGGGTACTTGGAGTTGCCGCAAAAGTCAAATTGCTTTTTCCTCTAAGTTAGCTTCATGTTATTCTTCCCTAGATCTTAGAACATACACAGCGTATACATTTGTGAGTCCATGTTGGCTTTATTTAGATTTCATTCTGCTTTAAAATTTATCAAAAAAAATTTTTTTAACTCCTTGCTGAACTTAGATAATTTTATAACCTTTGCCTAATATCCTTCCTAATATCCTCAATTCTGAAAGAGAATTTTCTGTACCCATGATGCTAAAGATGTAACTATTCACCAACGTGTCTCTGTGTTTGTGACTACAGTCTTTAACTCGGGAAATTAGCCCTTGGGTCACAGAGGCTCTAGAAGAGACAGGAAGAAACATATGCTTCCCATTTGTTGTATCTTTAGCTAAACTAGAGACCCAGTGATGGAGTTAAATGTTTATAAAAAATTATATAAAGGTATACTTTAGCTCCGGTAATGGAGTTAAATGCTTATAAAAAGTTTCAGGGAATGCAGCAAGTACACAAAATAAAAGCAAAGACAGCCAGACAAGATTAATAGATGCGTAATGCAGGCGTCAAAAGTGGGTAAGAAGCGTTACTTACCAGGCTTGCCTTTTTTGTTTTGCAAGCAAATAGCAAGAAGCAACAAAAATGAAAGGAAAACAGATAATCAGGGAAATTGTTAGGAAAGCAGAAAAAAAACAGCAAAACAACCTGTAATGCAGAAAGCACAGAAGTATTTCTTTAAATCCCGAATTGTTAATATTTAGGCTCAAGAAATGTTAATACTTAAAAAAATAATGCCGGTGGAAACCGAAAATGGCACAAACTGAAATGAAGAGGCAAAAGCACACTGTCATCACATGCACTGTTTGGGAACATGAAGGATTTGGGAAGAACACACACAAGCACTGGTCATAGCCACAAAGGGCTCCTTTGGCCTAAGGAAGCTGATTCTATTTTGAACAAGATTTACTACAGTCCTGAACCCTGGCTGGATAAAGCACTTTCTGGCTCCAAGCTTCCCTTCAGCATCATCTGTTAGTCATGCAAGATGCCTGTAGGATAGAAGTGGCAGAGATGGATGGAAACAGAAACAGAGGCATGAAATATACATAAAGAGAAGTGGTTTTTTTCTATATAGAACCTCATGCAATGCTGAGAAATCCCTAGAAAATAGCCTTGTTATCAAATCTAAGGGCTAAGTCCTGTCTGTTTCAATTTCCAGTTATATTAGCACACTGTTGTTCCAAAAGGAACTTTTAAATGCAAGGGCGGCCTTTAATCAATTACCTGCATGATTGATAGCCTGATGGAATCAACAAACATGCCATGTTTCTGATTTTTTTTTTAAAGCTATGAAAAGTGAAAAAGTAGATGAGTGTGCATGAATGAATTCAGGAACAGAGGGCAGAGGGACACACAATGAAATTTTCATTTCAAAGGCAGTGATACTTCCAAAAGGCAAGCAGGAATCTTAAGAAAACTGGACTGGGTGCTGGAAAGAAACCAGAGCACCAGACACTGGGAGAAATACATGAAATTGTCTATAAATGATTATAGATTTATCTAAGTGATGTTGTCACCATGTTGCTTTGTAGAATAGATCTTCAGGTGATACATTTACAAACTCTGGCTTCAGTGTAGGATGAAAGGTTCAGGCACTTGAAAATACTATGAAAGAATTCTGATTCCTCAGAGAAGCTTAATTATAATTCATCCTTTTTGCCCAAACCTGTCCATATTTCATGAGATTGAATGGAGAGGGAAAGAGAGAGCGACTCATTGGCTGGATAAACCAGCTCAGGGGATTATGTTGTAAAGAAGGCAGCAGAATGAGAAATACCTTTTATGTCAACTCAGGCAGGCCACAAACCAGAACGCTTCTCTCATTCTCTTTTTAGTTTGTTTTATCTCTCTCTCTCTCTCTCTCTCTCTCTCTCTCTCTGTGGGTGTGGGTGTGTGTGGGTGTGGGTGTGTGTAGGGGAGGATTGAAAAAGCAAGCAAGGAAGCTTATTAAAAAAAAAGCTGTAGAAACAAAAGATGCCTTTGGGCAGAATTTCATTAACAAGCAGAAATTCCCCCTTTCTTTATTTCAATATTTGCTTATAAATCCACACCAAGAACAGTACTAAGAAGCTATTACTCAGATGTGAAAAGAGACAAATGATAATGGGTTTTACTGATGTTCTCACAATAAAAGGTTTTTTTTTTCATTATTATTAAAAACCTTTGGGCCTTAGTAAGTTGCCAAACACTAGATAATAGAGGACATGAACTTTCAACACTATCACTTTCAATGACATTTAACTCAAGAAAGGATGAAGCTCTGTGTACATATACCATCCTAAATTGTTATATTAATAAAAGATAACAAATATATAATCAATTACACAATGCTAGCTAATGTACAGAGCAAATGCTGAATACGGCACATTTGGCGATTTTTCCCTCTTCGAGTTATTGAGGGGAATAGATCCTCTGTTTTAAGAACACTTCATCTCATCAAAATGGAAAATGGTGAAATTGATGCCTTCTTCTCAGATGCCAAAACTATTATTATATTGATCTTGGGTCAGGTGAGATTTCTGCAATTATAACTCAGAAAATTCTCCTATCCTCCACCAAAGGCAACTTTTTATCATGTCACAACACAGTAAAACCTCCATTAACTGCAATGCAGTAACATAACCTTCAATTGACCAGTTCCATGGCCCCTCACACTCACCTCTCTTAGGAGGAAGAGAACAATTACAAGAAAATACCTGATATCATTGATTTGGGCCAAATGGCATCCTTCTGTGATTAATGCTGAATTTTCCTAATCTGTAATATGTACAATACTGTAGAATAATCATTGACATTAAAAATGGTGATGAGATGCCCTGCAAAATCTTTAATCGCCAAAGAAATGCCATGTTTATGATATTATATTTGCTAAAGAAGGAAGGGGAAATAAATCATAACACAAAGATTTTCAGTAAGAGGAAATGAAACAAAATACCTTTCTTGCTTTGTTTTCAGTTAACCTGCATTCCAGTCTACCTAGATATTACTGTATTCACACAAAGCTTCTACTTGTGAGGAAATGATGCCAAGGCTTCTTAAGAATACCACCTGATAGGAGCTAAGCTGAAGGATTAAGACTAAACTTTGAAGGTGTGATTGGATCTTTTTGCTTGGTCCAAAAGAACTAGAATAAAATGGATCTGGCCGGCATGTCTCTCAAAGATTCATTTTCCTTTAAAGGGTTGCCTGTAATGAATGTAATCTGCTGTAACCTGAATTTACTCTTTCCTATGAACAGAGTACATAGATCACAGACTACTGACTGGCCCAAATCTATTCCTGACCAGGGAGTTTAGCTGGGTTAAACAGCAATCATAAAGAGGATCTCATTACTTCAGGAAAACAATTAAAATGGTTTCTGTTAATGGGCACTTCCATTATGCTTCCATATCCAAGTAGATTTTCTAAATCAGTTATTTCTTTGACCTAGGAATATTTCCTTTAGGGGACCATTTGATGGCACAGAAACCAGAATGTAAGAAGTTTATGATGCCTTATTACATCCTTAGTTCTTTTAGCAGAGTTTGGAGCTCAGTGATTGACATAGTCTTCAGACATATTTCCCCACAAAGTCTTTATAAAATCAGGATGTAAGGACAATACCCATCAGAAAGCTGGCACCTACCTATCATTTGAGCGATGGTCTTTTCATACTCTGCCACTATTTTCCTGTAAGAGAAATTAAATCAGTACAGATGTTTGCCTGATCCTTCATGACAAATGATTTTATCTCTTGAAGCCAAGAAGCTTTAGGCAATGACAGCATACACAATGCATATTTGTGGCTGAGATGTGGGCTAATGTCTCTAAATAGGAAGCAACTTATAGAAATCTCACTAAATAAAGTGATGTTTTACACTTCTCTGGTTGCCTCTTACACACTAACAATAGGTGTAACACTTCATAAAAACACAACTCTAAACATTCATTCCAGGAAGTTTCAAATTTCCATATTACCTTCAAAGGAATTCAAACTCCTTAGCTTGGCATTTAACTTCTTCCATGATCTGGCCTCTTCCTACCACCTCAAACTTATCTCCCACTTCTCTGTTCACTGACAGCCTAACTAGCATAAGCAAGTTAAACTACTTGCATTTCCTGAGTTTCTTCCTGTGTATTCCCCCCCTTTGACTGATGTTGTCCATGTAACAATTTCACAATTATTGCTAGGTTACTTTCTAATAAAAGAGTTAAACTAAATTTTCTTATTCCTGTAGGAAAGAGAATCATCATCATTATAAGTCACAATAACTATTTGCATCACGGTTACAATACACATTCACTTATTTCTCTAATACAAATCTCATTACAATCCTAGAATAGATAGTATAAATTGCATTATTTCCATTTCACTAAAATAACAACAACAATAAACAAACAAACAAAAAACTCAGGCTCAAAGCGGTTAATGTGATTTGCTTCACACAGCTCACTATTCATCTCAGGTCTTCTGACTCCAAAACCAATCTTCTTTCTTCTATACCATACTGCTTTTCTAATAGCCAGATTTCCTATTTATGCAATGCCCATCATAGGAAAATTGTTCCATTATTATATTTTGGGTTACCAATCTAATTTAAACCCCACTGTTATCTAAGAAGAGCAAAAGACATATTTTTCTAGCTAATCCCTTTGCTCCTAGAATTCACTGCAACAGTTGTCCTTCAGGTCTTTGCTGACCACATACCTTGAGTTTTTCTTCTTGAAAACAGGTTAATATAAACTGATTACATATAGCTCAGGCAGCTGATCCATTCCTGGTCTAAGCTTTGCTACATCAATGAGATGAAACCAGCTTCTTCTACGCTATTGAAGAATAAACCACTTACTGGGCTCAGTCCATGCTACAAAATAATCCCTGGGCATTCTTGGGATTTCCCAGTTTTCTTTGGCTTGGACTTCTTCAGAATCATAAAGCTTTCTTTAAAAAAAAATCATCACAAAAATTCTTTAAAAGAAATCAGCACTTTTTGGAAAAAGTGCATTGTAGGCAAAACATTAAGGAGAAAAAGGAAAAGACCAAATACCAATATTTCTAAGGGACAGAGACAAGGGCTAGTCCAAGAAAGTCCAAAAGGCATCTCGAGTTTTCAAAATATTCTTCATTTGGGGGTTGAGAGGGTGGGGGTGGGGCGGTGCCCAAACATATATAATAGGATGTCGCCTTCCCTTGATTTGACCAGGAGTGATCAGCCTGTTCACCACCAATAAATACCTCTGATGCAGGTCTGGGGCAAAAATATCCCATTGGGACTTCTCACAGCACCTTCAATAGCTGCCTTTTCAAATTCCTGTGACCACCCTCCAAATTCACAAGGGAGGGGGCACAGTTAAACTGCAAAAGGTCAGGCTGTGTTTTAAAAACAGATAGCAGCTATAGCTTCGGATGTGGCCAGGAGATAATCAGAAGACAGAAGTCATCAGTAGGAGAGAGAAAGAGATACTTTTGCTACCTCACATATCTTAGGGAAAGAAAACGCAGTCCACATCACAGCCTAGCCATTTGGTTTGTTCATTAAAATGCTAACAAAGAATGTGTTGATTTAAGGCTGAGATTTAAACTGAACGTAATTGAACAGTTTTACTCTGAAAAGCCTTCATGTAGACAGATTCCATATATACTCCCAACAGAGGCCACACAGCGCACTGAATAGAAAAAGGGCCTAAGAATCAGGAAGATCTGGGTTCAAGTCCCATCTCAGACACATACTGACTGTGAGACCCTCTCACTGCCTCTGGTGAGTCCTCAGGACTATACATTGCGCAACAGTTGTGATCTGCATTGATAGAGGGAGTTTTCTCACTGGCAGCTCCCTACACTGATAAATCACAGCTCTGGACAAAACAAACATACAAATTGTAATTCCAAAGGAAAAGAGAATGAATTTTGCACATAAGACTTTCTAAAAATATTTTATGTAATATTCTTGGTAGAAATGAAAGAAAAGAAAAGAAACCAGCCATAACACATATACTCTATAATGATGACTCACTTTTTTGAAGAGGGTCCAGCTTTGTGATTTCACCAGTGTGGAAAACTTCCAGTGTGGAAACGCCTTCCACTAACATAGATGAACAGCCTGTCTGTAACTTACAGTCTTAAGAGAGTTGTCTGGGACACTGAGAAGTTGAGGGCTTGCCCACTGTTACACAGCTAGCATGTGTCACAGGCAGGATTTGAATTCAGGCCTTCCTGATTCCAAGGCCAGCCTTCTATCCACTACTCCAAGCTGCCTCACATGGTTACTCATACCACAAGAATTTTCAGGGCAACAAGAAGATATATCTTTCAATTCTGGCTCTCGGACTTAATCACTGACCTCATTTCCATCACTTCCCGTCTACTTTCTTCATACTTGTCTTTCCATTCTGAGACCTCTCTTTCCTTGGTGATAATCTAGTATTAAAGGAGGAAATATTAAATGTCAGTCTAGACTCAAGTAAATTTTCATAGAACAACATACATGGGGAAACAAAAAGGCAACTAGTTAAACATCTCTTGAGAGAAATAGTGTATTCTAACCAAGCTGCACTTTTTTTGTTTTGGCTAGGCAATGGGGTTAAGTGACTTGCCCAGGGTCACACAGCTAGTAAGTGTTATATGTCAGAGGCTGGATCTGAACTCAGATCCTCCTGAATCCAGGGCCGGTGCTCTATCCACTGCGCCACCTAGCTGCCCCCAAGCTGCACTTCTGATTGGTGAGACAGAGAATAACTAGTTTACATCTTTGGGCAATGCCTGATGACAGAAAAGAGAGATTGAGAATATTTTTTGTCACAAATCCAATTAAATTCCACAGACACATTTCACAGTGATGGTATCTAAGCCCATCAAAACCCAGCTTCCTCAATCATCCTTCTGTTTGCCCATAGTGTTCAGAGTAAGAACTAAATTATCAGAGAAGAGGTCACCTTGGCATAGAGATTCTTTGTTTATATGTTGTGGGAACCAGATTTTTAATGAGGCTTCTGAAGGGCAATCAAAGGGGCCCCTTCTCCAAAACCCACACTGGAAATACCTCTTCTCTAGCGATTCGGAGTGAAGCATCTAAATCCGACTGTTGATAAAGAAGGGCTGGAGGTTTTTCTGACTCAGAGGTCCCAAGGCGAGAGTACAAGGCAGTTTTAGAGATGGGAACATCTGCTGGGAGTGCAGCTTCTCTCTGCGGAATTGTTGTTGATTAAAAAAAAAAGTAAACATTAATCATAAGACAAAGAAGATCACATTAATCCGGTTCATGAATGGGTCAATTGTGTATGTGTGTACTGGAGGATAGCGGTGGGTTTTTTTTTGGGGGGGGGTTGGTAAATGATGAACACAAAAAACTATGAGAAAATGTGAAGAGTCATGATAATGGATGAGAAAACTGTGTGACACAATCCATGAAAAATCTATCATTGTGCACCTGTGCAGGAAACAATGAAGTTAGATGGGGTACAGTTTGCCTTTAAATAGACTGTATGAGAAGCCTGTTTATCATAGCCATTTATCAGGAATCAAAAAACATTTAAGCAGAGCAAGTATGAACAGAGTCATTATCTAACAGGATCCTGCTTCTTCAGCATACATAGGATGGAAAAAAGGAAAGGGCAGCAGATGTTGGATTTCATTCTATGTTTTCCTAGTTTATAATGGATGTGTATTTGATCACTTTTGTAAGACTGCCTACATTTCAGTACTATGCGTGCCCCTGTGAGGCTCAGCTTCTAGATCATGTGGCATCAATGAAGTGTTCTCACTGGAGTAACTTTCCATCAGATGAGGTTCCTAAAACATGTATAGTCAATCAGTTTGACCTTAAAAAGGTTAATTTTCCCCGTACATTAAAAGGTGGGCTGATTATGATTGGCTGTGGCAAAGCTTTCATCATAGATGGGTTTACATGACAAGGAACTGGAAAGCGAAAGACTCAGTTGATTACAGTAAATAAATGTTTTCAATGTATCTAAACAATCAGGTTGTTGGGTTTTTTTTTCCAACTGATAAGTTGGACCAAGTTGAGTGGGGAGCTTTTCAGTATGAGGGCCTCATGGCACCAAGATGGTGATCTTAGAATATTAATGACAACTCTGTCCTGTAATGCCCTCTCCCAGTCTCTAATCTTTTATTACATACTCCCATGACAATGTTCACTGTGAAAGCATGTGAGAGCATGATGCTTTGTGTGGAGTTATGACTGGTACCAGAGACTAGGAGAGTAAATTATGGAAGTAAAGAGGCATATGAATGTCACTGCAAAAAAAAAAGGATAAACCAACCATATCTCAGTCCCATTCATTAACTTTTAGGTGCTGTTGTTCATTCTGAAGCAGAAAACATCCACTGTGGCTGCCAGAACTGGAGGAAACAAAAAGAACCAGCCCAATTCTACTCCAAGTAATATTAGGAGGTGTGGTCTCACAGGTTCAATGGGTCTCATTTAATAAAGAAATACACACCCTACCCCCTTAGTGACTGTCATACACAAATTCAAAATAAAACCTACTCTGTGATGACACTATATTAGAATATCGATAAATCAAGAAAAAATATATCATAGGGCAACAGTCCTAATTTGAGAACCACTGATAAACAGTTCTATGAGCAGATAAGGAAGGTGGCATCAGGAGACACTAAAGGATAACTTTTCAATTTGGCTTTTGAAAAAAAATCATCAAGAGACCTTAGTATTGGCTGAATGATTTCAATGCAGATACAGACTGCCAACCTTATTCTCATTACACTGAGGAAAATTTTACTTCATATAGTAAGAATAACAAAGCTGAAACAAAAGTTTAATGGATAGGACTGGAGGTATGAAAGCAACTTGTTATGGCTAGTTAGTAATACTCATGCAAGGGAAGTAAAGTGCTTGAATTTGGGTTAGAGATGGGCTTCTATTGGTTTGGTTTTACTCTTTTGATTTGGCCAGGAATGCTCTGCTATGAAAAGACTGCCACTCAACATGGAGATGTGACCTAAAACAACTGCTTCTTTATTTAGATGATGGTATCCCTAGACCTCAATCCTTGAGATTATAGAGATGAATTTGACATTCTAAGCAGCACACAAATATAATCCCTAAAAGATGCGCTAGTTTGCAAAATATTAAGGCATACCAAGAACTCACTGCTGTCTCACTGAGGAGAGCATCACTAAACCGCCGGGGGAAATTACAAGTGCTCAAATATCATCCATGTAACATTCCTTAAAATGTTTTTCAATTTAGTGAGTATAAAGGAACTTATTTGTCAGAAAACAGAAGATAATAAGACACAGACTTGAAGATAAATATGTGAATGAATTGCACAAGTTCCTAAGCCAAACAAACAAACAAACAAACAAAACCCTCTGCATAAGACTTATCAGGCTCACAGATCTAGAGCTGGTGGGAATCTCAGAGGTCACCTAGTCCAATCTCTCATTTTACAGATAAGGAAACTGGGGCACAGGGAGATAAAACAAGTTGCCCAAGGTCACACCAGGTAATAATAAAGAACAGTGGTAGGATTTGGACCCAGGTCTTCTGACTCCAAAGCCAGTGCTCTTTCTACTATATAATGCTACTTCCACTTTTACTAACAAAAAATTATTTGTCCACATATGATCATGTTAAACAAGAGAAAGATTAAAATGGCAGAATATTAAAATGCTTGAGTTGGAAAGGATCTTAGAGCTCACCTAGTCCAACCCCCTTCTTTTATGGATGTGAAAACTGAGACCCAGTGAAATAAAGAAACCTGCCAATGATCATACAACTACAATTATTAAATGAGTTGATTTTGACTGAAAATAAATCAAGGTCCCTGAAGCATAATCTCAAATAACTGAATTAAAGATATCTTTCTAGTATTAGTCTGAACCCAACGGCAGTCAGACACTGAAGAACTTTCTAAACAAATGAAAACTAAGCCTGCCAGATACAGTGATTCACTATCACCTTTCACAGCAGCCACCTGGTGTTTTCTGTGAAAGGAGAAATGGTCTCACAACCAATTTGAATGAGTGAATGTGCATCTGTTTGTTAATGAAATGTAGTTGGTGCGCTCAGGGTTTCCCTGACCCCAAGGAATTCTCTTTCACTGAAGTTAACAGCTTTGCCTCTCATTTACAGTGTTTTAAGATCAGATTTAGATTAGGCTTTTGCTCACTCGAACAATCCTGAAATTGCCCTTTCAGAGAAAGAAAAAAAAAAGCCAACAGGCCCACAAATCAGGATAATGAAGCATGATATTTCGATGAACAAGCCTGCCTTTAAACAACAAACAGTTTATGAATCACATACATTGTGATTGCCAACCTGGCCACAATCAATTGTCACTGATAATGTCTACACACCTACTCAACTATCTGAATGAACATATCTCCTGATGGCCTATTGTTTGACAAAATAAATGTTTTCTAATTGTACCCGGGAGGCTTAGCACTGGCTGAATTATTTTCATTTAAAAAAAATGGAAACTTCATTATTATAAAGCACAGATTTGACAGGTTTGTTACTGGTTGTGACAGACTGATGAGGTTTTCTACATAGGCTTATCCAACATGTTCAAAAGGCCTTTCACTAAAAGCAAATAGCTTCATTTCCTTTGACATGCTCTTTTTTTTGGGGGGGGGTCCAGAAACTGAGATTTCATCAGTATATGGAAATCTTAGGCTGGAACTTATCTCCATCCACATAACAGGCAACTCAGCTATCCTAGAAAGTTGCCTGACACCAAGAAATTTAGTGACTTGCCCAGGATCATACAGCTCACATGTGCCAGAGAATCACAGAATTAGAGAATTAGAGATGGAAGGGATTTAGAGGTGATCCAGTCAAACCCCATTATTTCATAGTCCAGGTCCTCCTGAAACCAGGACTGGCCCTCTAGCCACGAGGCCATGCTGCCTCTCTTTCTCTGCTTCATTAAAAAAAAAAATTCTCAGAGTAGTAGATTCTCATTGGAATGTTTTATGTACATTAAAAATATATAAAATTATTTTCATGGACTTGACCAAAGATCCAGTAATGTTCTTTGGTAACATGTAGATAATAAATTTAAACAGTAGACTGATTTTCTTCATTTTTTAACACGTTCTCACACAAATATATCATGAGTAGTTGCTGAAGCATCCACACAACATTAGTTGATTTGAAGATGTAGTTTCCAGGTAATATTTCTTTGGAATATCTTCAACATTTTCAGTTTTTAGTGGGGAGGTTTTCCAGTACAAGCATCAAATAATTAAAAATGTAAAGTGCTTGCCCAACTTAGTGGAATATCCACAATATGTGGGGATTAGAAAACCCCAGTGGGTCTGGGAAGAAATGATGGAGTTTGATCAAAGTTGTCTGGAACTGCCAGGTGTGGGAAATCACTGCATTATACCAATACTTATACTACTATTGACCAGATGAAGGAGTTGCTATTGTATCTGACCTGGAAGGCAAAGTCATTGGCTCCAATGCCAATAGAAAGGTGATATAAGGCTTCCTACCTGCTGCACATTCTTATGGTTGCTAGCTCTTTTGACTCTTATTTGTCTTTTGCCTGTCTTCACTGAATCCTGATTCCTATGAATGATACTCTCCTGTCCCTGATGATTCACCATGGTGGGAGTCCTGTCTCAAGGTCAAGGTCTTCCTGCCGATTGTTTCTAATGACTGTCCCTCTACTTCTCCTTACCAGTGTAACACAGTGCCTAATACAATAGGTGCTTAATAAATACTTGTGGACTTGACTGCCTGCCTACCTGGCATCATGGTTCCAGATGGCTCTCTCAAACCTAGCTTATCATCCCTACCTTGTCTATTTGTCCTAGGTCTGACAATACCTATTTTATACTATAGATTACTTTTTCATTAAGTTGTTCTAATATCAAACAATAAGAGGACCAAAAGTAGTTATTCTACCCAAATTGTTTTTAGGTTTGATGCAAAATTATACTTTAGAGGCACTTTTTGAATATCAAAGTGTTGATTTAAGGGCTGGTATCTAACCCTTTTCATAATTTGAAATGTGTACATTTCTGTCATCAAGAGAAGAATCTTAGAGGAATAACCGACCATCATGGAAAACAAAATATTTCTCCTAATAATATGCTTTTTATCTTGTCTATTCCAGAAACAATCTATTCATACAATTATCTGGTGATATGCATAATTAGATCTTTTTAATTGAACTGTCCTGTTCCAGAAAAGCCAGTTGCTTTTAATCAGGATGAGTTAAATGCTTATTTGAAATTTATCTCCCCCATTGCTAGTATCTCATGCAAACTTGTGCAGAAAATACATTAAGGTTCTGTCTGTATAGGAAGCAAAAGAGCACACTGAAAAGTGAAAAGTTCAATGTCAAATGTGGTCACAAGTGGGTAAATTAATAAAGTCTAGCTTCTTTTTTTAAACTGAATTCAATCAAAGCAGATGTTCATAGAGATAAGGATAAAATTCCAACCTATCGATGTCATCCTAATAGGATGCTTCCTCTTTAATGAAAGACATTTTGTGAAGGACCAACTATGCTCCTATAGCCTAATCTGTGTAGTCTAATGTGGAATACAAATTGGGTCTACTCTATAAAACCATGAGCAATTCACACCAAATCATATTTCACAATCACATATACATGACATTTTAGCTCCAAGTGATCCCATTTGAGTGTTAAAGACTGAACTGGCAGAATCTATGTTATATCAACCTGCAGCTAAAACATGTTTGTAAGAAAAAGAGTAAATAGTATAAGCAGCTGCTGTTTTCTTTCTCGATGCATCAGCACTTTCTAATACATAAATAAGAATTCTGTACACATATGCTACATAGAGGAGATCACAGATCTACTTGCATATGAGCTAAAGACTCAATGGAATCTTGAATTTATATAAATTGAGTTATTCTTGGGCTACTGCAGCTTAGGAAATAAAGGATGATTTGTCTTCAAAACAAAAAGTTAAAGCTGGAAATAGGGCCCAGAATAATACTACTTCTACTCTCTTTTGAGTCTGTAAGATACTTCGTAAGACCTATTTCTTTGTAGCACTGGAAAAATAGCTCACTGTGTTATGGTTCTAAATTTATGCTTTAACCTTATTTTTTTTAAATAAATTCAAAAGAAGTTTAAATTCCCAGCAATTTCCACCTAACAACAGAAGATCAAATCATGACTTGAACATGATCAATAGTTCCAAAGAGGTCAGAGATATCTAGCCCCTTCAATATGATTACAATGGGGAATCAACACTATTCAGGGAAATAGTCATATAAATCCAATTAGGTGAAATAACTCCTTTCAGAGGCAATTCATTCTATCATGGCAAAAACAGAAACCTGTCTGAAGCAATTTCTCACTGCTTTCTTCAATTTTAGAGTCTCTTATTCCAAAAGAAATTAAAGAAGAAGTTGAGGGTCAAACCATGATTTTTTTTGTTTTGGTGGTAAAAGGAATAAGAAAACCTATAGCCAGTAATTATCACTTTAATTTTTTTCCCCGGGTCTGATTCTGTCCAATCTGAACACTAGAAGCCATAAATATTCTCATTAAATTGCAAGTGTTCTCCAAAATGATTCTTCACGAGGACAACACATTCCACTTGCTCATGGACAATGTTTGAACACTGACATTATAATCAAGTAACACATAGGAACCTATTGCTGGCATGTCACAAAAAGGTGGGTAAAATTAAGAATTGCATCATCAGGAATAGAATGGTTTGAACGAGGATGGAAAGAGCACTGTTAGGAGTCAGGAGATTTAGGGTCTGGTCTTGGCTATACCATTGATCCACTGTTTATTCCTGGGCAAGTCACCAAACACTTCTATGTCTTGGTTTGCCTGTCTGTAAAATGGTAGTGATAATATCTACTCTAATTTACTGTGAAGATGGAATAAAATAATGAAGTAGAGATTTAAGATAATTTTTGATGACTTTTGTCATCATCATTATCATTGTGATCATTATAATTATGAATGTCAATGACAAAAATAACAAAGATTATTACCCTCAAAAGACTGTCTGAGTCTCTATTAGTGATCAAATCTCCATTATTACAACCACTAAACCACACAGAATTTTAGAATTGAGGAGGACAACAGAGATCACCAAATTCAACTTCATCCTTTTAGAGATAAGGAAATCGAGAGAGGTGATATGATTTGCCCACGGTCACAAAGGGCTGAGACTAGAAAATTCCGTCTTTTTAATCTCAGATTTCAATTGTCTGGGGCCCGAGAGAACCAAACTTTGAGCTTCAAAACTTTAAAATCCAAATAATTAGCCTTCTTTCTCAATGACTACGATGCAATCGATCAATAAATATGTATTAAGCATCTATTATGCACCAAGTGCACACACGCACACACACACAGTTGGTCAAAAGCAAAATCTACAACATCACGACTTAAAATGGCTTTTCATCACCACTAAATTAATGCTGGCATGTAACTGCTGAACAGCACTCTCACAACATATTAGAAGAGTCTGGCTAATGCCAAAGAGCTATGCAAACTGCAATGGAATTTAGCTCTTGAGCTTAATCTACAGGGGCTGTGGGTTTTAGGCCACTTCCTAGGACCAATTTCTCATGGTCATATTTGAGGAGTAGCTCCCTCCTCTTGCATGGACATGCTGTTTTGCAGGTTCCCAACACCACATTTGTGCGTCATGGTTAGGAAAGCAGCCTCCATTTCGTTACTGGCACACATGACACACCCAGGTAGCATCACATTCCAGACAGGCAGCAGGTATCTTGGTATCTAAGGAACTGAAAGAAGCCAAGGCAATCTGTCTGGCTAGCTTCAGTGCTTCTATCCTCATGATCGCAAACTCTAACTCCTCCTGTTACATGGTGGCGTTATGAGTAAACCATGGGAAGAAAAATACATTAAGACAGGATGTAAATATTGTTCACATCCAGAGAACGGATGCCACACTTAAACGCGTTGTGATGACAACTCAGATATAACACACAGAGTCAGTGTTCTTTTCAAGAGAAACACCTCAGCAGCCCAGGACAGCAGAAGGCTGAATTTTTAAAAATTAAGAACATAGAAGCCTTTCAAATAAATAACCGTCAAGAAACATAAGCATTATATTGATGAAGATAAGATGCTTTTTTTCAAACTTTCTACTTTTGTGAAGTTTTAGGTTGTTTTTGTTCCTTTTCCTACATGCCATAAAGTACATTTTTGATATAAAGTTTTGTAATAATTTCAATTAAAGCCGTATCTCTTACACTGCTCTCATAATCTCTTGAGATTTGCTCATTAAGAGAGTCCTCTCACAAAGAGGAGAGCAATTCAAATTGCTAACTTCAAATTAGATGCTAGATAATTATTTTGGTTCCAGATGTTGCACCATGTCCAGATGTTATCGCAATGGGAGTCAGAGAAATTCTCATGTATATAAATAGCTCACTCAAAGGTGATTTAATACAAATCTGTTCAGTGAATAAATGACTAGAAATGCCTAGGGATATTGAATGACCTCTGAAAAATGAAGCCTCAAGCCCCATTTCCAGATTTTAAAGGAATCATCTTGTTAAGAATATAATCACAACATTCACACCATTTTGACATCTTTAGGGGAAAGACTACATATCTAGCTATGAAGAAAAGACTTTTATTTGGAAGACTTTTGGCCATCCCCACCTCCTCTTTCACTCCCATTTAAATCATAGTTTGGTTTGATTTACATGTAAGGGATTTCATTCTCTACTGAGGTGTGATAAACTTTAGAAAGGAACACTGACAGGTTACACTTGGACTACAAACCTGAAGTTTCTGAGCAAATACTGGGGGGTTCTTTTCTGCTAAATCAGGCTCTAGATATTCAAGTGCATCACATATTGAGGTTTGATGAGATATCCTATTGAGAAGAGCTTCAGCAGAGACATAGGAATCTTCAGGAGCTCTCTACATGATAAGGAGGATATAGAACAGAAAATAGAGGAGAGAAAGAGGAACAGCAAGTCTAGGTAAGCATCATCTACTGGCCTGATATTTTTGGTTTCATGCTAAAGAAATTACCAAATTTAATGCCAATTCTTTAAGAGCAATAGGTGTTTGACAGTGGGGAGAAATAGCTACTATTTGAACTGCTTTGACAGCCAACACCCTCCCTCCAATAGCCCATTAGTAAAATAAAAACAAAAACCAATATGCTCTTTGATTACTGGCTACAAACTGGATGGAGGCAGTTTAGGACTGGAGACAGGGAAGGAGGTGATCCATTTGTTGGTATTTCAAACCACAAGTAATAAACAAATAAGCATTATCACCAAAGTAAGTGAGATTTAGCTAGAAAGGTAGATGTGTTTAAAGCTAAGAAAATATGTTTTCAAATAATAATAAAAATAATAGCTGGTATTTATATAGGGCTTCAAGGTTTGTAAAGTGGTTTACAAATCGTATCTCATTTTATCTTCACAACAATCCTAGGAGGTGGGTGCTACTGTTATCCCCACTTGACAATGAAGAAATTAAGGCAGGAAGAGATTAAGTGACTTTTCTATGGTCACACAGCTAGTAAGTGTCTGAAGTCACATTTGAACTCTGACTTCAGGTCTTCCTGAGTCAAAGTCCAGCACTGTATCCACCTAGATGCCTCATTCAAGAGGGTCATTAAATAGGAAAGTCAACTTTTCATGAACAAATCTATCCAGTGCAACAAAAGTAAAACATTAAATCTTGAAGGATACTCTGTTTTCCAGTATGGGTATATGTGTGTGTATAGACATACATACATACATAATACACACATATACTCACACACAGGAAACAGTGTGTATACATATACACACAAGTACACACACATACTGGAAGCAGTATCCTTCAAGATTTAATATTTTACTTTCATATACTTATACATGTGCATATATATGTATATGTGTGTATGTATCTATATACATACACACACAATGGGTGTTACACAGGGATTTGAACCAATAGATAAAAACTTTTCTGATACTTAAGAAAGCCTATGGGTAGTCGGAAGAGAATAGACTTTTCTGTGTCAAGTTTCAAACTGTATTTTACCACCACAGTTACATCTGAGCTCTAAGATCTCAGTATGTGAAAGGAGAAAGGAATCTTTTTTATGTGGGTCCTAAAGAAATTCCTAAATGAATCAAATGGGGTCCCAGGCCCAGTATAATCTACTGTTCACCTCAAAAGAAAACTGTCTTTCTTCCCTAGCACACCTGTTAATGTGCTAAACTACCACCATAAAGGATGCTAGGAAAAACAAAAGATCAGGAGATGAATGGCCCAGGTGACAATCCCACCATAAGGACTCAGAAAAGAAAGCAAAAACATCATCATGGTAAATAATGCAAAGAAAATTTTAAAACAAAACAGATTTACTTCTAGAACATTCTTCTCTCCAGAAGTAATGTATTAGAGAGATATGACAGCATGTTGTTTGGAGGCTTTGGAACTCACTCTCTACTACTTTTTTGGGGGTGTAGCTTGAGATGTTATTTTTAGTCCATCGGATACCTATGCATTTACGGGGTCTGATTATCTTGAGCCTAAATCTTCAGTTGTTCTTTGGGCTTATTACATCCCCACTTACTCTTTCGAGAGCATCTGAAGTTGTTCCTAAGCCCATAGACTCTTTTTGGTTTGACTTTTCTGAAGCCTGCAAGTGTGTCTCTGAGTTCGGAGCCAGGACTCGTGAGACTGGATGCTGGATTTTCATTCCAGCGTTCACCAGAGCTTCTGTTTCTTCAAAACTTGATCTGAGGAGAAAAAAAAATGTCCCTCATCTTTTTCTTTAGAAATCCCTCCAAAATCAGAGTGACAATAATCTATCACTTAGGCCTCCCCCAAGAACACTTAAGTTCCAAGCGTATTCCCTTGAATAAGATGGTAGAAGGATACTGGTGGTCCCTGCAGTTTGGTACAAATTGCACCATACATCATGCATCTATATATGGTAGGACTAAGGGAGAGGAATATCTATTTACACCTCTAAGGTGCTTTTAAAACATCAAACAAGGGAGATGGAAGACAGCAGGCAGCTTCTATATCTATTCTGGCCAGCTCTTTTTCTTAAGATTGCTCACACTTAAAGGAGTAAGGAGAGTTCAAGAAACCATGAGGGTGGCACCAGGGAGACACTGGTGGGTCCAATCTCTACCTTCAGAGAGAACAAAGGAAGAGCAGGAGAGGTCCAAATTTGGAACTGAGACCCTAGGTCTAACCAGAAACATACATTACTTAGATTAGAACATGAACTTGGGCCCTTTTAACCAAAACAAAATTAAAAGGGAGAAAAAAGTCACACATACGTTTCTTTTAAGAGATTTAGTCTTAGTTCAAATGATGCTCACTCTCAGTGCTGGCATTTGCTTATCAGATCTAGGTTAGGCTGGAATAGGGGTTGAGAGGTTAACAATACAGGACTACCTTATTTTGCTGTTGTCGAGTTTTCAGTTATAGCTGACTCTTAGTGACATCATTTTGGGTTTTCTTAGCAAAGATACTGGAGTGGTTTGCTATTTCCTTATCTAGCTGATTTTGTAGATGAGGAAACTAAGGCATAGGATCACACAGCTAGTAAGTGTCTGTTGCCAGAATTCAACTTGGGAAGATGAGTCTTCCTGATTCCAGGCCCAGCACTCTATTCACTGTGCCAGCTAGCTGCCCTACTACCTCATTAGGAAACAGTAAAATAGAAGGAAGTATATAAAGACAATAGAACAGGTTTTAGAATCTCTGGCACGCTTTACATTATAATTCTTAAAGATCACTTGGACCTTGACATCTACTTTGCATTTGAACTCTCCCATAGATGGTTTCTTCCCAAATAAAATGTAAGCTTACTGAGAACAGGATCAGGCTTGCTTTTCTATTAGTATGCTTATCAAAGGGCAAGGCACATAGAAAGCACTTAATATTTTTCATTCATTCATTAAAATAGAAAATATTTTAGTATCATAGGCTCTTTATGGGAATAATATACCCTGAACATGGAGTTGGGGAATCAGATAACCGAACTGGAGGAGATTTGACTGGACTCTCCTGAGGGGCATCAAACATAAGATACAGAGATTGTTTCTTCGGGGTGCCATCATCATGCTGTGAAAAGAAAGGAAATTCATTCTAATTATTAAATGAGTACAATCTGGATAGAATCAATGTGACAAAGCAACTTGGTGACAGACAAGAGCAGATTATTCTCTAAGACAAATCACTTTTTAATATAAAGTCTTTACTTCCTTTGCAAGCAACCAAATGATTATGAACAAACAATAATTGGATCTTAAGCCAATGGGTTAATACAGCCAATATCTATATGATTCTAGTCAATTTCTCTGCAAAACTGATATGCAGTATACTGCAGTATGACTTTTTAGAGTCAACTCCTCTATAGGTCAGCCAAGTTGAGGGCTGGCTAACTCTTCAGAGGCAACAGAGGAAGCAAAGGTACTTGCAGGTTCCCATTTTACAGACATATGATCGTGTCTCTCTATCCCTAAATGTACACACACACCATGGCCTGTGGAAAGCACTAAAAGAGTAGAGTATGTAGGACAACAGTAGGCCAAGAGGCACGGATTCATTAAGTAAACAAGCTACGATAGAGCAGGGTATAGGCCCATACACAAACAAAAGCAAACCAAGGAATTCACACAAAACCACAAGCTGGGCCCAGCATCCCAAGTCATAAAGTTCAAACACAGGGGAGTACTATATCTATTGTAATGTACTCTCAGGGTTCAAAAGCTATGGGTCAAGAGTTTTACTAGAGCAGGCACCCTGGGCTCAGACAGCCACTTGTAGGGTGAAGTGGTCTGGCACTTGAGCCAGCCAACTGCATCTACAACACGTTTTTGTAATGGTAAGATGGAAGACAAAGTCCCGAAGGCCTTTAGAAATTATAATTTAATGCAAGCCAGAGCAGCTAGGGAGTTAACGAAAGGTCAGAAGGCGAGAAAGGGCTTTCAGTCCACCATCTTTAATAATAATAACAACAACAACAATAACAGCTAACAATTATGCTGTTAGCTAGGTGGCATGGGCAGCGAGGTGGTGCAGTGCATAGAGCACTGGGCTTGGAATCATAAAGACCCCTCTTCCTGAGTTGACAGCTGGCCTCAGACACTTAGTAGCTGTGTGACCCTGGGCAAATCACTTAACCCTGTTTTCCTCAGTTTCCTCTTCTGTAAAATGATCTAAAGAAAGAAATGGCAAACCATTCCAGTATCTTTACCAAGAAAACCCCAAATGGGGTCATGGAGAGTCAGGTACAACTGATATGACTCAATAACAACAAAACAATTATGTAGAACTTACTATGTGTCAAACACTGTGCTAAATGCTTAACAATTATTATATCATTTGCTCATCACAACAACCCTGGGCTATTATTATCCCCATTTGGCAGATGAGGAAACTGAGGTAAATAGAGATTAAATGACTTGCCCAGGGTCACACAGCTATTAAGTGTCAGGCTGGATTTGAATTCAGGTCCTCCTGACTCCAAACCCAAGGCTCCATGCACTGTGCCACCAGCTGCCCTTTTAAGGCTCATATCCCTGAGAATCGTTTATATTTTAAATTGTTTATATCTGTTAAACTGAAAGTTCTGTAACAACAGAGATTCTCACTTCTTTAAACCCTGTATTTTCTTCAGTGCCTATACCAGTAATCTGCACACAGTAGATTTTTATTTAATGTCAATAATAATGATAGCCAACATTTCTATAGCACTTTAAGGTTTGCAAAGCACTTTACAAATATTATTTCATTTGACCCTCACAGTGACTCAGGGAGGTAGGTACTATTATTATCCCCATTTTAAAGATGAGGAAACTGAGGCAGACAGAGGTTAACTGACTTGCTAGGGTCAAACAGCTGATAAGTGCCAGGCTGGTTTTGAACTCAGGTCTTCTTGACTTCAGGCCCAGTATCCTACCTACTGTGCCACCTAGCTAGCCTGAAGAACCCACAGTCACCTACAAACAAGGATGAGACAGCAGAATGGATTCTACTGGAGGGGTTTTCTGTCTGTTTGTTTTAAATAAAACAATTCTCTTCTCAGAAAATTAATTTCACAGAGTCAATCACTCCAGAATCAAGTGAAGTGGTTCTGTGGAAGAGACTGGCTATATAGTTCACTGTTTGTTTCTTAGATTACTTTTATTCATGTTGGCTATTAATGCAGACAACAAACCCTTAATTTTCCATTAGCATGCTTTTATTCTGGCTGTAATAAGTGAAAAACACTCAGCCTACCATTTGCTCTCAATTCTCATGTTCTCGTAACCTTTACAATACAGAACAGTACACAGAAGCATAACAACAGATGTAACGATTAGAAGGTGAAAGAACTTACAGGTAAGTTGGAGCCGATTTTCTCCATATATTCTATTTCATAAGAGTTTCTATAATCCAGCTCTGCAAGAATAACAAAGACCAATGTCAAGGATCATTGAAAAAAAGACCAGTGTGCACCATAGCTGGCCTGTATGGTGGGGACATGTCTGTTTTTCAAGGGGTCCCACTTGCCCCCCAGTTTTAGCACTGGAGCCTTTATAATAACTGCAAGCACACAATTATGATTTACATACGAATCCAGCTTTTTTGAAACTATGGAATTTCCTTTCCTTGATATGCTTAGAAATAGAACAATTCACCCTTCTCAGAGCTTTCTGATGCACCCCTATTTAAGGGTAGGCATGGAACTTTAAGATCTAGATTTCTCCAACTTCTTCAAGGCTCCCTCAAGTGATAAATGGTTATTCATGTCAATAGAAAAGACAGGAATTCCTTAGCTGGGTGAAGAACATTGATGTTGTCTCTCTAGACTTACCTTTTGCTCAATTTCAAATTTATATGAAGCTAAGCGAAGAGATTTTAGGAATATGCCAGATTGCCAAAGTCCTAAACCAGATAATTATCTATAATAGAAGGCTTTGATTTTCCTTAGAGAAATAAGGATTGGTAAGAAAAATCCTAATCTTAGCTGGAGGCACTAATCTTGTCTTTCGTTAGTTAGGTATGGTGGCTTTGACTAAAGGTTTTCAGCTTGACTTTATCAGGGAGAAGTTTTAGCCACTATACCCTAGCTGAGATGGCTGTCCTGGCCCTAAAGGAATGAATGTACCATTGGATATTATAAAAAAAAAATAGTACAGTGCAGCAACATGCCCAGTGAGGAGCAGGCCCAGCAGAGATACCATGCCCAAGTCACCCCAGAGACCCCAGCAGAGCAATTCACCCAAACAAGAGCCCTCACAGTGAGTTCAATAGAGCAGTAAGCCAAGTGAGGAGCACACCCAAAAAGTCCAGTGAAGGAATACGCCCAGCAGAGATGCCACACGTAGCAAAACACAGAGCTGGCAAGAACAATGTGATGACATCACCAGAAGACATCAAAGTTCCTTCAGTGAAGGAGGCATGGATTTCTTCTCCACATATATTCCTCTTTATATGGACCTCTCATATGTAATTTCTATTTATAATCACTGTCCTCACTTATGGTATATGTATTTAGAAGGACTGTGCCCTATACTAACAGAGAAATGTTCAATCACAAATCTTTTTATTATCCAACTTCATTAAGTGTTTTTGCTTTGAACTAATTGTGCCCTCTGGCAGATGAGAAAAAAGTAAAACATGTTGGTGGGAGCTTGTAAGTTATCAGTTTGAGTATATATAGAACTACTAAATGATACCAGAATAGTTATTCTGGATGCTCTACATGGGTACTGCAGGTACTACAATAATATTACTAACATCACATTTATATTTCATTTTAACATTTATAGTATAATTTCTTCATAATAGTTTTTATAGGATGGGGGTACAAATATTATGATATTCACTTTACAGGTAAGGAATGAAAGATCAAAGAGGTTAAGTGATATATACATAAAAGTGATACATATAGTAAGCACTGGGGTCAGGACCTGAACTCAAGTCTCCTGAGCCAATTTTTCTACCATACTCCATAGCTTTATGACTTTAAGTATCAGTTGAAACATTTCTACAATTCATTAAATTGTTTTAGAGTTGGTCCCTTTCATCTTTTTTTTTTGGACGTGTACTCAATTTCCAACCCTTCCAAGATATTATTTTTTTGTGTGTGTGAGGCAATTGGGTTTAAGTGACTTGCCCAGAGTCACACAGCTAGTAAGTGTTACGTGTCTGAGGCCAAATTTGAACTCAAGTCGTCCTGACTCCAGGGCTGGTGCTCTATCCACTGTGCCACCTTGCTGTCCTCCCCCCCAGATAATGTTTAATATAGAATTAGCCAGACACTAAAGAAGTATCCTCAAACATTTTTACCCGAGATGTACAATTACAACCTATGTTAACTTCTTGGTCTTAATAAATGGATCATTTTTGTTTATGGAACCAGTCTAAAATTCTCAGCATCAATACTTCAGGGTAATTCCTCAGTAAGTCCTTTAATTTCTATTTATTAGTCCTTGGGAATATAATTTTTAAAATAAAATATTACCTAATGTGATTGTTAAAGTGAGACTTTCTCTTGTTTGTTGTAAAGAGTCAATAAATTAGGATACCAAAAAGTGTCTGCAGCTGTCAGAATCTATGTCAAATTCTTTTTGCTTTAAGGAACCAATTCTTCCTGAGAATAAAGATGATTTTGTGAAATAATGGAATCAAAAAACAGCTTCCCTCTTCTTATAGGCCTTAATCATTATTGATTTGTACTTCTTGGTGAGTCACTTACAGAAAAAGGTAATGGAGAATTAAACTAGCTGGTGTCTAACTTCCTTTCTAGCTCTACTATTTTACGATTCTATAATAAACACACATATAATCTCGTATTGGTCAATAAGAAAAAGATTATGAACATTATAATCCAATGCCAAGGTTTACCCAATGCATAAAGTACAGAAGTCTATGTTATATGAGCACTTCCAGTCCAATCACTTCTTTTAAGGTGGTGGGTAGAATAAATGAATCAGCCTGTGCCCATCCCCATGGTATTGTTAGTGTGACCCTGGAAATGAATCCCTTTAATTGTTCAAAAGCAATAATCCGGCTCCTGTCACCACAGCTGAGAGCATGCATACTAAATGTGACCAAAAAAGAGGAAATAAAAGTGTTTTCCAAGAGACTTCTCTTCCAGTTCCACTCTTCAACCCAACATCTAAATTTTATTCCTAGCCACTGGACCTTAGACAAGTTTCAGATCTCTCTCATCTGGTTTATTTCTCCTGTACAACTGCCCAATTTCATCAGTTTCTTCCCCACCCTGGGAGATGTTAGTTCAAAAATAGGGCATTTGGATTAATAATAATGTGCTGTTGGCTGAGAGAAAGTCTAATTTTATACATGAGCATCCATTCTAGTTATGATTGGACTTTCCCATGGATCTAGAGCATTTGTGTATCTATGACTCATTTTAGAAAACTAGCTATCTTAGGTCTCCTATTTATAATTTCAGAATAGTGATTACATCCACTTTCAAAGTGCCTTGTACACAGTAGTCTGAATAGGGAAATATTTGTTGAACTGATGAGTCAAGTTAAGACTCAAAGAATATGAGCTGGAAGATGAGGCAGCTCTTCTATTTAGCAATGCTCTTTCCATGACCTTGAGGAAATATCTCAACTGACTTGATGTCTACATCTTAGTGGCACCTCAATAATCATCAAAGAGAAGAGGAACCATGCCATACACAGGTCAACCCCAAAATAACATTTGAGTAATCACTATGAATTCCAGGGTGCTGAGGAACCTTAACCTGACTTCCTTCAAACACCAAAAACTGTTATCTCATTGAAGGAATAATCCTGTTATTGTTAAATATGGATGTTTCAATATTAATTATGCATGCTTAAAGATGAGGAAAGGAAAAGGAGGTGAGAATTCATTTCTAACAAGTCCTATCAGTTAATTCATCACGGGATTTTTGGTTAGTGAAATGCTGACTCCACAGAGTTTGGGGGCATCACTAAATCGCCTCTGTAGAACAACTCCAGGGCCATGGTGGAACCTTTAGCACCATGGGGAGAGTACAGTAGGGGAGAAGAAAGAGCCCAGCAGAGGACTTTTAGAAGAAGCCTCCATGATGATTCTTTACCTTTCTTTTATCAAAGGACTCTTAGGATTTTTAGACAAAGGCTTGAGCTAGTGAAAAATTATCAATTCTAATTTCTGGATGGTTTACATTAAGGAAGAGGGATAGACTAGATAAGTGTTTCTTTACTCCTGTTCTACAGAATGCACAGCAAATTTTTACCATTTTGGAAGACTTTTGTTAACCCTACTTTAGGACTCGAAGACTATGGGTTTAGAACTAGAGGGGACCCCTTCATTTTACAGAGGCAGAAACTAAGGCCCAGAGTGCTGAAGTGACTTGTACAAAGTCACACAGATAGCAAGTTGGAGAGCCAGTCTTCAAACCAAGTCCTCAGACTCCAAATTCAGAGCTCAAGAGAGTGTACTACACTCTCCTGAACTTAAAAAACAACTCTTTTTTCATGGGAGAGCTGGAGGAGACCTCATCATATAGCTAGTCCAATTCCCCTCATTTTATAGATGAGAGAGGTGAAGCTTAAAGATACTAAGTGATGAACCAAGGTCACATAGGTGGTAGGCAGCAGAGCCAAGAGTTGAATCCAGGTCTTCTGATTCCCAAACCAGTATTATTTCCACTGTAATAAATCTTCTTCTATCCCCTGGTTCCCAGTCCTTCCCCTCTGAGCTAATATGGCAAAAGTGGTATGCTCCACAGTGTAGTTGGGGTTGGGAAACACTGAAATGGAGGAATCTCCAAGTCCTTTCTAGGTTTGGGATTCTAAGTATTCCTGATCTTTGTTTAAAAAAAAAAGATTCAAAAGACACATTTACAGGGTCTCACTGAAATGGAGGTAGACCCCATGATCATATAAGTTTCTCCCTCAAAAAATCATTAGTATTTATTTGCTTGGCCCTGAAGTTCTCCCATTTTCCTTCCTCATTTCACTAGCTTCTGTGACTTGTAACTTCGACACAGAATGATTGATGCACTCTAGAAATCACTCATCATAGCACCAATCTTCAAGCAGATACAAACTGATGATTAAATTACCAGTATATGGTCATATACCTGGTGTTTCTGGGGTATACCTGATTCTATCTTCAAGCTTCATGAACTCAGCATTTCATCTTCTGCCTCTATACACTTATACAAGCTATCCCTCACTCCTGGGACATATTTCCTATTCACCTTTACCTCTCAGAATCATTAGTATGCTTTGAGGCTCATCTCAGGTGTCACCTCCCATTCAAGGCTTTTCCTAATTTTTTTTTTTGTGAGGCAATTGAGGTTAAGTGACTTGCCCAGAGTCATACAGCTAAGTGAGTGTTATGTGTCTGAGATCATATTTGAACTCAGGTCCTCCTGACTCCATGGCTGGTGCCCTAGCTGCCCCACTTTTTCTAATTCTTACAGTTATTGTTGTTCTTCCCCCCTACTCTCTCTACCTCCCCCCATCTCTTTTTCACCATTTTCTCCCTCTCTCTCTTTCTCTCTCCCTCTCCCCCCTGGAAATCGGGGCTTCCCATCTGTGTCTCTGTGTGTCCACCAACTAGCTTGAGGCTTTGCACATGCTAAGCACTTAATGAATGTCTGTTGAATTAAATTGATGTAAATAGGGAGGATGATCCAGTAAACAGTTCTGGATCCAGTTTTATTTATCACTTTGGTGAAAATACATGTAACATCCCCAAAGTAGCCTACGATGGTCAAGGCATCATCAGATCATGGATTTAAAATTAGAAGGCATCAGCTCCCTCATTTTCCAGATGAGGAGTGAGGCCTATAGAGATAAAGTGACCTGGTCTAGCAAATGGCAGGGCTCGGATATGAAGCAAGGTCCTCAGATTGTAAATCCAGCATCCTTTCCCTGTCCTATGATATATCCTAACGCTGTAATTATTTTCATCCAATCAGGCAGCAAATTACAACAGACTGCCAATTTATTCACTATGTATTAGCACTTCACAATCATATAAATGGGCAACTTTCAACTACCTTGCCCAGCACAAACATTTACATATTGGGAGTATTTTGTTTTTGTTGCTGCTATTGCTAGAAATGAACAGTTGTCACATCAGTCACAGTTGGAGTGCATTTATTAAAATGTCGGGAGGTGAAGATGAGCTTCAGCAGCCACAGTTTAACAACCTCTTCAGCTTTAAATCTACTATTCTATAAACTTCTGTTCAAAGGATTTTTCTCCTCTTAAAAAAGTGCATGTGTTTGATTCCAGCTGATAAAACTCAAACACAAAACATACATATCAGGATTAGCTTGCAGATCTGCTAAAAACCTGGTTGCAACAGCAGAAGAATAAAAATGATATTGAAATGCTTTTCTATATTTGTTTAAAGTTATCTGAAGGATGAGAATGCTTAGCATATGGCAAACCCTAGGGAATAATGAACTAGCAGAAAAATCCCTTAACACAACAAGTGCCATTGAAAATATCAAAATGGTCATGTGTACCTGCTGACATGACAGTGTCCTTTGTTCCTGAGATTATGAACCTTTTCTCTGCCCTGACATCTAACTCCACTAAGTGGCCAAGCGCTCTCCAACTGCTAAAGATAATTAATCTATGGAGATGACAGTAAGCTCTCTCCTTCAACTGTAGAGGAAGATGGTGCTTTGTTGATGACATATTCCAAATCTGGATATAGTAAGTATGAGAAAGTCAGTTTCCTCTAAGCAATCACCAAAATACAGAAGGGAAAGAAATTCCACGCCCTTATATGAAGTACCAGGCCAAATGAAAGCCCAAGGTGGCAAAATCTGTGGAGTCTGCTCTTTGTCAAGCTCCATAAAGACAGCTTTCAGAGATATTCACACAAGTATAGAGAAATGTGTTAAGTGACTCGCAGAGGAAATTCTTTTGTATAATTCAGAGATTTCTCACAGTAAAAACCAAACTACCAAGGGGAAGCCCAGTTATTTAAGTAATCTCAAGAGGAAGCATTGTGTGATATAATTACTATTATCTGGATTTTCTGGAACATCACACCACTCAGTACATAAGCATGGTATGGTCATTAGCATTTAATTAGAATCTTGGTACTCTTTCTATTATTAGCAAAAAAGTTGGAAGGAATGCCTTCAAATGGAATAAAAATTCAAGTGTCTATATCACTGTAAGGTTTAAACAATATCTTCCTAACAATAATGTTCTCCTTTCTGGTACTAATTCCAAGATGGATTTTGAAATCATTTTCAAACCAAATGTTACCATTGGGGCAGTTCTTGTGTTATAAACAATAATGAGAAGTTAAAACCACCATGGAAAGCGTAGATTACCATGTGAACTCAACGGGCTTGTACTGTGTTAGATGTTTAATAATGTTGTGATCAAATGATACATTTGTATACGGCTTACCACAGTGCCAGGCACATAGTAGGTGCTTAATGAAATGCTTGGTCTATTCTCCCTTAATAAATCCAGGGGTGAAAGCAGTCACCAGAAGGACTTAGGTAAAGCTTCTTTAAGAGTAATTAGTTCACATTTTAACAGATTTCTGACAGTCTTTCTTAAACTGGCATGACCATGGCTTTGTCTCAGGGAACTGAATTCTGGGGGCACAAAAATTTAATACAAACATTCCCTTAGTAGCCTAAAAAGTCAGTATAAGAATTTATTCCCCCACCCACTCAAATGAATTTGTCTTACTATTTCTTTTATTATTTTTACATCATGAATTACAAAATTGATTTTTTTTTAGGATATGATTCATGCAACCAGTGCAGGGCATCAAAACTGTTAGCTGCAGGTCTAGCTTTCAATAATGGATCACTATGGTCAAAGATTTCACCACTCCATAGACAGTCTCCTAAGCTGGGCTCGGTTTCAAACAGAAGTCACAATCTATGTATTACTAGGACCATGTTCAAATGCTCTCCATCTTGGTCAGACTTGGCAAAGCTTTCATTCAAATGACCTAGCCTTGGCCAATCAAAGGTCATCTTTATACTTTCGTGAGGCATTAGGGTAGGAATAATACTCTTAAAAAGAGTATTCTTCTATTGGTATAGCACTTGTCACATATTTTATGTCATTTGATTTCCACCCCATCCAACCAGACACACATATCTAGAAGCCTTTATTAAGTGCCTACTATGTGCCAGGTAGTCTAAGTGCTAGAAAAAAGACATGTATGTATGTATGTATGTATGTATGTATACACACATACATGTGTATATACACGCACGCGCACGTGCACACACACACATATATACACATACATGCATATATATTTTTGGTCCAGAACTGTGATTTCATTAATATAGGGAACTCTTCATGTAGAAACTCCCTTCCTTGATATAGATCAGCAACTCATTTATGTCTTAGAGAGTTCTCTGGGCCACTGAGTTTAAGTAGCTTGACTACAGTCGTATAGACAGTAGGTGTTAGACATAAGACTTAAACCCAGGTCTTCCTGGCTGGCCCTCTACACACTAGGCCACATCTCAAGATAGGTATTACTATTCCTGTTTTACAGATAAGGAAATTAAATCTCAGAGAAATTAATTAAGATACAATCACACACAATCACATACAGTTAGGTATCCCAGTATGGAACTCTCCTGAATTTTGAAAATCTGTGTCTCCAACTGGATATGTAGATACACTTTTTGATTCCCTTTGGCACATTTTATGCTCACTTGAAATTCATTTTCTTTATAATCCACAGAATTAGGAAAGAGACCTGAAATCTAGGAATTGAAGAGGAAGTTGGAAAGGGCTTCCTTTTCCAAAGGATTTCCTCTGTTGTTATCAAGTATGTTTAGATTCATGCCTGGTGTGGGTTTTCAATTGTGAAGTCTGACCAGGTAATTTCAGCCTTCTCAGCTCACACACCTCAGCAGCCATAGGGGTCATTAGGAAATGCCAGGAAGCTCAGCAACACTGCCAGCTTGGTGCTAGATGATTCTCTTCTTTTAGGCTGAGCCCTTCACAATCACCAGCAACGCATATAAAGAGAAGCAAGGCTCCTGACAGTTGCTGGGCTCCACCAGCCACAGTGGAATGTAGCGATAACAGCTTTAAAAAAAGCCACACGTTATACCAAAGTGCAGCTTTTGTCTCCAGGGCTCAGAAAGAACATGCAAAATGGCGGCCCAAATTACCTGGCTTCTGATTTTCTTTATGGTCCTTCATTGCCTCTTGCTCTTTTGGAGCAAGTTTTTCCAGGTTGGGGTTGGGGTCCGAATGGCCATTAATTTGCTTACCCTCTGTGGGAGAATTGAATTTGGTCTCATTTACAAAAGTTGACAGGTCAGAGGGCTGAGGGTAATCTTGCTTGTCCGCATCTAGCTCCACTGTCATACAAGTCCATTTCTGATTGGTCACTGCTAGTTTTTCTTCATCTGTTGCATGAACCACAGTAGAGATCACTGGGGGTGTTTCTGGCGTAGGCAGTGGAGTGGGATCCTGTGAAGTACAAATAATCACCATTTTTTATTCATTCTATTTGCCAGTCACAAATGTCCTTTCCATCCCAGAGCTAGGGTTTGAATCCTTCCATGACATATTAGCCACATTTAAATTCTTAAATTCTCCTTCCTCAATTTTTCTGACTGCTTTTTTTCAGAATATAAATCCTGATTAAGGGTCACCATTTCAGTACAGTAAACAAACCCCATGGCATTGTAAGTTGAAATAGCCAAGTTCTTCATTGCTATTAAGGATATTATATAACTTTAAAAGTAGCTTTCTTAACTTTGTGGAGGTGGAATTTGCCTGTTTCCATTACCCACAGGAAAACCCAAATATTGCTTTAACAAATGATATACTTGTAAGACATCAACTTCCTCTGTTATTGCTAAAAGCAAACACAAAAACGGTAAGTCAGAGGATAATAGCTTTAGAGCTGGAAGGGACCCTCTAATCTAGCTCCCTCATTTGACAGATATGAAAATGGAGGCTGAGAAAGGCCAAATGATCTGCCCAGGGTCCTATAAGTAGCAAGCAGAATGAGTAGGATTCAAACTTAGCTCCTCCCACTCTGAATCCAGGGCACTTTCCTCTGCACCATTATGCCTTAGAGAGCTAAAGGGATTTGTGTTTCTTGAGAGTGATAGTCAGGAGGCAGAAACTCAAATAATGAGTATCTAAAATGTCAGAAAATGAGCTACATCCCCACATTTCTTTAAGGAATTGCTTCCTTGCCCTCCCATCAAAGCACTGTTATGTGTTTCAGTGCAAAAGAAAATGTGGTTATCTGCACAACTAAAGTCTTTCTAGAGATCCCCTAAGCAGGGGTCAGATACACAGCACTTTCCTAACCAGACTAAGATGTAACTGGGAAATGTTTAACAAAATAAATAAAAATGCTATATGATACAGATAATGTTAATCTGTGGTCTTCTAAGTCAATATGAGGGGCCTGCAGGGATCTGTTTCTACTTAAGTTTCACACCACTGGCTTAACAGTTTCCTTCTCTTTCCACAGATAGTTATTATTCAGATACTCACTGTACATTCCCTTGTCTAGTCTGACCTTCACAAGTGAGAGATTTTCAAGTATTTCAAAGACTAACTGGGCAGAACAGAATACAACAAAATAGACTGCACCTATTCCTCCAGAGGCCCAAGTAAAGGTTTCTGAAACTATCTGCTTATTCCCCCAAAGACTGATCTTCCATAATTAGAACGGACCTAAACAAAGCAAAGGGATGAGACATGAATAGAAATTATTGTAGTGTGAGCTAGAATGAAGTAAGTCGAGGGGACAGGTCAAAGAGGAAGAGGCAAGAAAGAGACAGGGACAGAAGGACCCCTTCTAGCTGGGAAATCTTGAAGGCATCCCCAGGGATTAATTCTTAATAGCCTATACATCTGACCTGGGCAATAAAAGAAGGGAAAGATTTCAACAGTCAGAAACGTGGGGGGAGTCTGTTCTAGGCCCAGAGAACAGGTAAAATACAAAAATGCATAGAGGCCAGAGAAGGCAGGGCAAAATTACAAAATGGTTAGGAGTCCATAGAGGGAAGTAGTGAAAGCCTTGAATGTCAGAGTCAGAGTTTATATCATTTCCTGTGTGCAGTAGGTAGCCAGGGAAGGTTTCTGAATAGGAGAGTGGTGGACTTGCAGATTATGAAGATTACAATGGCAGTGATGAAGAATGTACTGGAGAAAGGGGAGATGGAAGGTAGGGAGAGCAAGCAGGAGAGTAGTAAAATAGTCCAGAAAAGAAGTGGGTAATTGGGACTTAAATGAGAGTGAAGGTAGCAGAATTGTCAGTTAAGAAATGGAAAGGAAAGATATCGTGTAGGTAGAATCCGTAAGGCATGTCAACTAACTGGCAAAGAAGCAAATTTCAGCTCAATAAAAAGAAAACCTCCCTAAAAATGAAAATTATCCAGAAGTAAAATGGCTGGCCTTGAGGCAAGGAGTGGGTGGCCCTATTACTGGAAGTCTGTAACAAGCAAAGGCTCGATGACCATGTATCAGGATTATGGCAGAAAGTATAAATGTGCAGGAATGGGTTAGACTAGATGGCCTCTCCATCACTGAGACTCTGTGAGTCTGTCACTGAGAAATGACTCAGAGCAAGCAGAGTGAAGCTTGCTCTATGCTGTCCCTCACGATAGCAGTTCTGATACCCTATATGTGCCTTGCACATTATACAGTTCTTACAAAGCACTTGCACATCTATTATTTCATTTGAACCTCACAACAACTGTGAAATACACAGAGAAGGTACTATCCCCTTAGTTTTACAGTTGAGGAAACTGAGGCCGAGGAGGTAGTTTCACAGTGTCAGAGCTAGAAGAGAAACCCGTCTTTTCAGTAATTCCTCCATGCTGCTTCCTGTCCCACCCCCCACCCTCACCTGAAACTGATCCATACCGAGTGGAAAATTTACACAGGACTGGCAGTAAGGGGTTAAAAATACTCATTTCAGCTCTTCCCCATATGAGTAATAAAATTATAAATATAAGAAAAACATTATATATACCTGTGAAGGTGGATCAGACAGAGGAGACCGTTTTGGCGACTTTTTCACCCTAAATGTATCACTGGAAACAAAATTTAAAATGTAAACACAACAAACAGAGGCACAGAGAACCTGTCACATCGAGATACAAAGCAGACTACAACCACTGTTCCTGCTAGCCCATACTGCTCCATACTCCCATGTGCACCACACCAGCTTTACAGAAATATACTCTCCTGAAAATAAATTGTGTTTTTAGCAACTACTGCTAATTTGTTCCCCAAGGAAAAGTAACATAAAGCTGCATCAATAACAAAGGGATGCCATTTTGGAGAAGGGATCCAGAAAGTGAAGCTGATTTAGGCTAGACTTAAGCCATACTTTCAAAAAGCTTTAGCCAATTAATATAGTTGTCTTATAAAAGAACATCAAACCGAGGGAAGGGAGGATTGATGGGCTTGCCTAACTTTTAAAACATTCTCTCTTTAGTAGATGCGTCATTTTGGATTTCCTGAATATTGCCTTGCTTGACTTCACAATGCACTTATGAAGGAGGTGTTATGTACTCCTTTTATAGTTGGCTGGCCAGGGTAGAGCTCACACCCAGACTGCCAGGGAGCAGCAGCAATCAGTCACAAAACTGGAAGTGAGGGCTAGCAAGCGCTTACAAAGAATATTTAGAGGATCTCCTTAGCTGAAGAACTATTTCACTCTATCCACATGTACACACCTATATGTATGCACAAATGTATGTACATCTATATGTATATTTATATTTGTGATCTCATTTCTCTCAGAGGGAATAAGTGTGATGCTAGAGACTGCTCACATCAGCTTGCAAGAGGCAATTTTCAGTGTGAGCATTTACACCTTGGAAACTGGTAAACACTACAAATCAGGGTTTGATTTATTATTTTATTGATTGTCTTGACTTAATAAAGTAACAGAGAAAATGTTAATGATGTAGATAAGACTTAAAAGTGTGTCATTTATTGATTGATTCGTTTGGAGAGCTAGTTAAGCACTCATCAGCACACCACTGACCTTGACAAAAGGTAGCAAGATCAACTAGATGACTTCTCAAGATCCCATACAGATATACTGATTACACTGGAGTAGTTTCAGATTCTGGACTTCCTAGCAATTCAATTCACCAAGAACCTAGACATGTGCAAGGCCACCCATTCACCAAACACCTGCTATAAGACAGGTACCATGTAAGCTTAGGAGGAGGTAGAGCCCAAAATTACATCTCTCAGAATACTGGGAGATAGATACAGAAAAGGAAAGAGTCCAGGAAGTAGACAATAATCTATTAATATACTTGGGTATATACATATAGCTCGGTTAAATACATCAGGTCATTTTTAAGCAAGTAGAGAATCAATTTTCACATTCTGTGGCACAGCCTTAAGAAACAGTATTATATATGCACCTAAGAGTTGGGCTGTGACTACACAAGGGAACTAATAGCTATATTCATCCTAATCCCTTTTTAATTCTCCCCCCTTTTCTTAGGTGTGACTTCTGGCAATCAGGTTCTTCATTTTCTTTCAACCAAAATATTCCAACAATGGCATTGTTACATTAAAAATAAAACACTACAGCAATAGCACTTTCCCTGAGAGCAATCGAAAGAAAGGTCTGTATATATTTTTTTCAGGCATAAAAATATACATATTATATATGCATATTCTTTATGTCTTAAAAGTGTTTCTGAAGGATTAACAGAAGTCCCTTTAGCAGAAGAGAACCAGATAAAAGAAAGTATCCTCCCCCAGGGCTTTGCATGGGGTTGCCAGGTACTTGCTTAAGATGGTGCTGGTTTTCATAATTAAGGAAGGGCAGAAAGAGAAGCTACCTCCCTCTTATTCACAGCTGAGCTGTTTGATAGAGCTCTGTGGGCCAGGGCTTAGCAGCAACAGCTTAGAGTTGGTCAGCTCTGCTTTTATAAAAACCTAGCATGACCATACATGGATGCCAAGGATGCATTCCAACTAACAGCCTGTCAGTGTCTTCAACGACAAGGAGGGGAATGTATGAAGGGCTGTGGATTGCTCTAACATCCGTGCACATCATATTTAAAAAAGGAAAAAAAAATATTTCTGGCTTAAGGGCTCAGCATCTTCCAGATCTGTGAATTTTTTTATCAGTTTGAAATTACTAAAACATTTCAACTCTACCCATTAACAAGAACAAACCCTACTCAAGGGCTGGCTATGAACCCAAAACTACGGATTCAAATATTGGTAGACAGTTGTCAGTTGAGCCACGGTGTTATCCAAAGCAATCTTCCACCCATCCAATTGATGATGAAAGGAAAAAAATGCAAAGAAAAAAAATAAGAGAGCATGATAACATCAAATAAGGAGAGAAAAAAGTTTCACTCCCAGCAAGCAGGCAAGCAATTTCACTTGTGCTAATCATGACAAATAAGAAAAATGACTCCCACTAATATGAAGCCCCATGCCCCATAATTCCCCATCATGCCACAGAAACATATATGGAACACCCGTGAACTATAAACAAGGAGAGCATAGAAGCCAGAAATAAATGGGTATGAGAGATGGGGGTGAAGAGGGGAAGCCGTTTTTAGCATAAGAATCTGATACCATTAAGTTTACTTACAACAGAGAACATACAGACATCACATCTTCTACCATCCTAAGACAAAAAAGACAAAGAAAAAGAGAGACAGACAGAAGGAACTGACAAAAAAGATAAATCTGCAGACAACTGGTTATTAATGTGTTAGGAAAAAATCACCATCCACTGTGAAGACTGCCGGAAAAGCTACAAACATTTAAGATTGTGGGGGGGAGGGGAGCCCTCTGGGAAGGTCTTGATTTAAGCCTTCTGGTGTTTCTCGGCAGATCTTTAGGGCATTTCCCAAGCCATAGGGTGCCTTGTGTGCACAGGAAATGACACTCGGGAGGCAGGAGTGTGAGACTGCTTAGAGTAGCTCCATCTTGTTTTGGCCTGCTTTTTTTCTGCCTTTTGTGGTAGCTCCAATGCCTGGTACATAGCAGACGCTTAATAATGCATGTTGGATTGACTTGTTGACTTGGCGACGCATGCTCACAAGCTACCAAGGAGATCAATAGTGGGACCAGGGATAATAAGATGATGCACAAAGAATCCGTTTTCTTTTAGCTTATGTCAGTTCCGTTGATCCCTTGTCCTTCCCTCTCCTCACCAAAAACTCCCTTCCCCAAAAAGAAAAGAAGAGAATTGGTGTCAGGCATTTCGGATGACAAGAACATGCCTTCCTTCCATTTGCAGCTTGGGGCACAATTGCTCCTAGCCACTGATTCTAATTCTCTAAAAAAAAAGTTGTGTTTGGGTAAACAGAGATAGGAAACATCATCATCTGTTTCCCAACTTGTCTGATCCTGCTCTGCTGCTAAAGGTGATCTCAAGGCTGTCTCCTCTTAGATCTAAATACAGTCCTGAGACGTTCTGAGTGCCTGGCCATGGTTCAGACCTCAGACTGAGTAGGACACCTGTTCTCTATTCAAGGCCAGCGGCTGTCCTTTGTTTCGTGGCCGCCCAGAGTGATGACTGGACCCCAAGGAATTGTGAAATCCTCAAAGATCCCAGGCATGGAACCCCACTGGAGGAAAAGGTCAAGGCTCCTAAGCAGATAACAGCGCTAGATGTACATCCAATACATTTACTAAGGTGCCAGCTGGCCTCTGAATCTGGCATATATGTCAGTGTGAATTCCTCTTAGGGGCAGTGATTGGGACTGACCCTGTGATTTCAAGGATAGAGGGAACTCAAAAGATCACAGATAGAGTGATAGAAAGGACCTTGGAGGCCACTGAGTACAACCCCCTTATTTTACAGGTGAAGAAACTGAGACACAGAAATGTGACTTGCCTGAGGTCATACTGCTAGGCAGCTGGGTGGCACAGAAGATGAAGTGCTTGACTTGGAGTCAGGAAGACTTGAGCTCAAATCTGGACTCAAGTCACTTAGTAGCTGTAAGTGGGCATATCACTTAACCTGTATCTGTCTCAGTTTCCTCATCTATATACTGGGGATAATAACATCTACTCTTCCCAAGGATTGTCGTGAGGATAAAATTAGATAATATTTATACAACACTTAGCAAACCTTAAAGCACTATATGTAAATTCTAGCTAGCTAAGTAGCTATAGTAGTAGTAGTAGTAGTAGTAGTAGAGTAGTAGTAGCAGCAGCAGCAGCAGCAGTCAAAGTGGTAGTGGGGATGGCAGAATTACCACCACCACCACTACTACTACTACCACCAGGACTACCATGACTACCACTACTACTACTACCACCACTACTACCACTACTACTACCACTACTACTACTACTACTACTACTACTACTACTACTACTACTAATCTGAGGTAGGATCTGAACCCACGTTTCCCTGACTCCCAAACTATTTACTACACAATAAATAATGTCTCTACCAATGCAAGACTGGCCCTTCTCTACAACTTGTAGTCTTATATAGTTGACTAGAGAGCTCACCATATTTAATATAAATCTAAATTTAAAAGTACATAACTTCTAGTAGTTATTTTTAATAGTCTGACAGAATTTGGCCAAGACTGTCCCTTCCTTCAAAGTTTTATTTGTGCCATTTGGACAACTAGGGTTTTGAACTTTTGATTTCGAGGGACTTTAGGGTGGGAAGGTGCCAAGCTGCTGGTCCTAGAAGTCCAAGGGGAAATGGTGAATTTTTTTTTCTCAGATCAAAGAGAGTGAATAAAGTTCAACAGCTGGGTCCATAACAGAGACAATTCCTTGCCTTCTCAGAGAAGAATCACTGCAAAAAAAAAACATTACTAGCATTGTACAGGTGATGAATATGTCCAGGCATCCTAGTCACTAAGCCATTCCAGGAAACAAATTTATACATGGAATAGCCAAGAGGGGGCATAGGCGAAGGTGAGAAAGTTTTTCTTCTGGAACCTACTGCACAGAGAAACTGTTTCTTTCCTAAAGGATCCAGTGTTTGTCCTCTATAAAGACATCAGCTATCACACAGATGAGAGTTAGGACCCCAGCCAAAAGTAAATAAAATCTTAAAAACGCTAACTTATTAAGACAAAAGCTCCGGGATCCAACCTCTAAGGAATCTCTTGACGGTATTTCTTAGATGTGCATCCTTTACATTATTGGGAAAATGCCATGACAATTGCTGCAAAGAACAGGATAAGGTATTCTACTTGTCCAATACCATTTCTATAAGGATAGATGGTCAGGCCAAAAGCCTTCATAAATGTAGCCAGACACCAAGATGTGAATCACTCTAATATCTGTTACCCGCTCTAAAATCCTGATCCAACTCTACCCTTGAACTTACGTCTTTAGAGGCGTCTTCTTTTTCTTTGCAGGCTTGTTTAGGTTGTCTCCTTCCACTCCATTGGTTTCAACAGCATTGGCTGGGATCTCAAAAGAAGCTGAGGACTTAGAAGGTGAGCTAGGGATCTTAGAAGATGTCTTAAAAGGGTCAATGGAGTCATCACAGATGTCAGCATCAAAGTTGTATGTCTGTTGGGGCAGTTTGGGAGACTCTTGTATTTTCGTAGTGGAAGAAAAGGGGTTAAAGTTGGGATCATCCCATTTATCTATATCAAAGGTATAGGAGCCTTTGGAGATAGGGATTTCATTAGGGTCAACAGGGGACTTAGTGGGTGAGGCAGGAGCATTATCAAGTTTTTCCACCGTCTTTTTAGTCTTTGGCCTCCTAAGTGGCATCTTGGCAACTGGCTTTTTACCTATCTTTTTGGGAGGAGGGGGGTTTTCCAGTTGGTCGTCCCAACTTCCTTTATCTTCAGAATAGTCAAACTCCAGCCTTACAGAGAGCCCTTTGGCTGGGGAGTTCTCCTGACCTCCAGTGTCAGATGGTGTCACCTCTACTGCCTCTGGGGCTGTGGTCAGAGGCAATGTCTTTTTCCCAATCAGGGGTGAGTTCTGCACTTTGCTGTTGCCTGTTTTAGGTGGAATATCCCCTTCGGCACTATCAGGGTCCAGGGGATAGGCTGCTTTGGATCCAACAGTAGTCTCCAGGGGGCTCTCCTCTGACAACTCTGGTCCTGAACCGTTTATCTTACCCAATTCCGTTTTTGTTTCAGATGCTGGGTTTTCCTCACTGATAACAGGACTCTCTTCCACTGGGTCTTGTTGTGTTTCCTTTACCAGTGGTGTTTCTGTGGGTTTTTTGGTGGTCTGTTTCTTTTTTAAGGAAGGGGGCCTGGGTTTTTTAGTTCTTTTAAGGGTACTGGAAGCGCTGGTCGTACCCGTGCTGTAGGCATCAGCTGCTACTGCCCCTGCCTCGTTATTCTCCAGAGAGGCACCACCAGCACCATCAAAGTCACTAGCTTGCAAACTGAGAGATCGGGATAAGGTAGATCTGGAGACTGGGACAGAGTCTGTCGATTTTCTCCGGACATTCACTTTGGAGTCCCGATTCTTGGCATCTGAGGAGCTGGGTTCCAAGGTCTGTAAAGTATCTATCACCTCGATGTTATCGAAGTCCAAGTTATATGTCCCGCTGCTGGCTATTGGTTTGTCCTCGTCAAAGACAGTGGAGAAAGAATGAGATGGAGGACGGAAAGGGCTTCCTTCCACTGATTCACTATGTGGCACATCTGTGATGGAAACGGTCTCAGCACACAGCCCTGTGGAAACAGAGACAAATAGGTCACACTTAAGAAGATATTCAACATTGACTTCTCCTTTCTTTCCCTCAGCCAGAATTCTAAGTCTTCCGAGCTAGTAAGGACATTTCAAAGCAACAGCATCAGCTCAAAAGGGGATGCAGCTCTTTTTCATGGGCCCACTGGATGCCTACTAGGTTGGGCTCCAAGATTTTGAGATTCCATTTTTCCAAGTTAATAAATAAACGATTTCAAGCAAGTTCTAAAGAGAGGAAATAATGAATTGCCCACAAGAAACTACAAAATATGTATCCAGCAATCTGAAAGAGCATAATTTCTTAGCTCAGATATCCCATAGCTGAATACCTAGTCATAAGAGGGAAGAGACTATAAGCTTGGGGTTTCCACATTAAAACTTGGATCAAGTAACTTCTGAATAGTAACCTAGAGGCCAAAGAGTCCTTACAGGCGTCTTTCTATCTGTAGCCATGTAGATCTCTCTTTGAAATTGGGAGCACTCAATGTACCTGCAATTAGCCCCAGTAGCACATAATGTGGATTTTTTTTTTAAATTGAGGCATGATGACCTCCATTGTAGTAATGTTTTCTCCAAACTACTGAAATACTGTAATGACCTTAATTTTTAATGGGAGAATTTTATTATTTGGTTCACTATCACATAGCTTAAGATACTGAAAGACAAAATCTTGTCCTCTAAAATATAATTTTATGTAAAAATGACCTTCTCTAGCCTCTCTATAAAAAGACATTGGTTCTATCTTCCAATATTACCATGTTAAAGTGTTTTCCCCATACTAAAAATCCAATTTACACAAGTGTTAACCTTAGAGAAATTGCCAATTTTCCTCATTCAGAAAAAAAATACAAGTTTGAAATCAACAACAACAACAAAATTATACAATCACTGTTCTTTGCCAATGCATACCCATTTGGGGTAAAAGTGATATTATATACTAAAAAGGGGATATCTCTATGTTTTTCCATATAGTCTCAGAAAATTCTCCTAGTCTAGGCCTCTCAAAGAATGATTTACTAAGAGGGCCACAAGGTAGTGTGGGAAAGAAGGAAAGCAAGGGAACAGGCTATGGAAATAACAGACCATGAATTAATATGCTTTTGCTCAATCATGAAATATCATGAAAGCTGCATTCTTTTATACACATACATAAGATAACCTGAAGCTATAATGGTCCTCCGCCATATGGCCTAACTTCTCTTGGGAGTGAAGATAACCACAAATTGCACTTATTATCAGTGAAAACTCCCACAATTAAAAAGATCTGTTCTGTGCAGATAGAAAAGCTCACAGAAGAATAATTATTAATCCAATATCTAGTAGGACAGGGTGGGAGGTTAGCAGTGAAGCTTAACAGATTCTAAATGTAACATGATGGCTATGCAATAGTAAAAATAATTATCATTCCATTAGGACCCCAGCCCAGAAAACCCAAATAAAATGCTCCTTGTAGCCAATTCCGACTTCCACATTTGGGTCCAGCTGAATTGAATTGGATAAGGTTAGCTTAAAGTGGCTTAGGATGGTCCTTGGATGCATCCAACCCTACATCGTCAGGTGCAAGTGACAAACTTTGTCAGCTCTTGGCCATGCAACCTGAGAAAAGGTGGATCTTCTTTAAACCCCTCACAAATTTCTCAGTATTGGTGCTAGTCAAAAATACCACACCACCTCCCAAAAGTAAATATGCAGACATATAGTCACAAGATAAAACAGAAGAAAAGAGAAGATGCTCACAGGAGAGTCAACAATCCAATGTGGAGTATACCTTTGGCTGAATCAACACAACATGAGAAAAAACGGTCAATTCAGACAGTTCAGTAATAAAAAACAGACTCCCAAAATCAAGCTAGTGGCTTAGCGTTGCATATATCAATCTACTGGTTGTTTACATGACTCCTACCCAAAAGAAATATATAACCTAGTTCATGGAGATAACACGGACCCAACCTATACCTGAATATCTGAAACAACTAGAGAACAAGCCCACAGAAATGCATAGTGATGCCTCAGTTTTCTAGAATTGTTGGTTGGATGGTGGATTCTGGATACATAATTTTTCCCTTCTGTTAATCACTAACACTTTTAAAAAATAAAATACCATTTTTTTCTAAAAATCCATTATACATTTCTTTGTCTTAGTAAAGAATATGCTGAACATAATATACCCTTTTCTAGATGTCTCACAATCATTATTATGAATAGTGATACTTGTATTTGCCTGTAACAGCAATGCCCTCGGGGGCTACTGAAAAGCACAGGACTCAATTTGTCTTGATACTGAAACGCTCTGCTGGCCTAGTGGATATTTCTTTTGTCTCTATCACCATAGTTACTCATTTTTAGCAGTCATTTCTTACTTTGCTCAGTGGGTCTGCTGCTCACTTCCTTGTTCCACACTACCTGCTACCACCATCGGTCCAATTATCCAGAAAGCTCGAAGTTATCTCTGACTCTTTTCTTTTCCTTATCTCCTCCCCCAGGTGAGATTCATCTTTTCTGCCTATTGAGTAAGCAGCCTTCCCCTCTGTCACACTTTTCCCTCTTGTCTGCTGTTTTCACTATTGTCTATTTTCTTCTTTTCCTGCTTTTTGTACCAGCTTTTCACCACCTACAGCCATAGCTGGCCAATGAAAGTCCTTTCCCGTGGTGAGTGATTCCAGCGCTCGTCGAGTCATCTTCACATCTTGGCTTAATTTCAGCTATTTCTGTCACTGATTTGAACAGCCATTCATCTGAGTTTGCTATAGCTGTTCTGGGTCACTAAGGGTTCAGCAATAAAAATGGCCACTAAGTAAATGAAGTGTTACTAAATGCCCTGCATAGCATGGTGCTGACTGAATACATAAGCATGGTCAGTTGACAGGTAAGTTCTGAAAATCTCTGATTCCATGATTCAGTTTTGTTCGGATCAGTATAAGTATCACCTTTACTTTAGAAGCACAAATTCCAATCACTGAAAACTTTTATCTTCAGATAACGATTTTTAATTCAATGTTACTCTTCTGAGAAGAGGCATATTATGCCTAGATTTGTTGAGAAGAGCTTTGAGAGCTATGAATCTATTTAATATTATATAGATATTTGCCTTATGTTGTATAAAAATAACTTGTTCTACATTATAGGAATTTGAAGAGGGAGAGTCATTAACTTCATCTTAGCTTTCTGATGCCTCCTCTTCTTTCAAGGCTCAGCTCAAGCATCACTTCCTCCCCAAAACCTTTACTAATCCCGACTCTTCCTCCATCCTTAGAATGTGAGCTCCATGTTTTGTTTTGCTTTTTGCTTTTGATTGTATCTTAGCCCTTACGATAGTGCCTGGCACACAGTAAGCACTTAATAATTGCTTATGGACTAACAGACTCAGCTCAAAGTGTTTTCTCACCTCTTCAAATGTGACTAGAGAATCTCATCAGGAACTCTGTTTTGATGCCATCACATCCTAATTTATACTATATTTATCTCTGTGAAGCTCACATCCCTCCCTTCCTTCCAAAAGAATGGAAGCTCCTTGAGGATAGGGACTATGATATGTTTTATTTCAGTATTCCCAGTGCCTAGGACAGTGTCTTTCTATTAATAGTAAGCATGTAATAAATGTTTGTCTTCGAATTTGAATTTTGTTGTTGTTCGGTCATTTCAGTTGTTTCTGACTCTGAGACTCCATTTGAGGTTTTCCTTTCAAAGACACTGGCGTGCCATGTCCTTCTCCAGCTCATTTTATAGATGAGGAACTGAAGCAAACAGGGTTAAGTGACTTGCCCAGAGTCACACAGCTACTAAGTGTCTGAGGCTGGATCTGAACTCGCAAAGATGAGTCTTCCTGACTCCGGGCCCAAAACTCTATCCACTGCACCACCTAGAGGGCCCCTAGCTGATTCTGAATAATCAAGATAAGTTCTCATTTACATTATTACAAGCTGGCATTACTATGCCTCACGGTGGAGTAGTTACCATTTCTATAATAAACAGCTAGAAAAGTCTAGTTTATGTTTATTACAGTATTTTGAAGATACGCTTAAATTCACCTTAATTACTGATTTCCCTTATAACTTTTGTTTTTCAGTGATAGGGAGAGCAGCATCAATGAATTCAAACTTTGGAGTCTTCTTCCTCCCTCAGCCAATTCTACATACAACCCTAAATCACTGAATCAATTAGCTGACCAGCAACAAAATATTAAGCATCTACTGTACGATGTACCTGCAGAGAAATACAAAAGAAGTAGTATGACCTACTTCTTGCCTTCCTAGACTTTATAATCTAATTAGGGGCAGGGACAAATTATTCATTTGCAAGGATTAGAGAGATATTAAATACTAAACTGTGTGCTACTAATTAAAAGTGAACTGGGGATTTTTAAAAGGGAGACTTAAAAAGAATCAGTCAATTTTAGAAGGGATGTGAGAAGACAGGCAAACCAACAGAGTGGAGGTGGAGATGTGAATTAGTCTAATCACTTGGGAAAACAATTAATAATTATGTGAGAAAATTCACTACATTTTTCATGCTTTTTGAACCAGACATCCCACTATTTGAAATATATCCCAATGAGGTCAGCGATGGAAAGAAACTAAGACCCCATGTATACTCATTTGCTCTGACATAATGGGAAAAAAAACCCACCTGGAAACACAGAGCCTGTGTATCAATCAAGGAACAGCTAAACAAGTTGTACTATATGACTGTAATGGAATATTATTGTGCCATAAAACTGATGACTGTTAGGAATTCATAAAAATATGGGGAAATTGATCCTAAGTGATTCAGAGAAAACAGAACCAAGAAGATAAAATATACGACTACAATAATGTAAAAGAAACGCTAAAAAGCAAAAGGACTCAAATTAATTGCAATGAACTCTGTGGGTTCCAAAGGGCAAAGGATGAAACCCTATCTCTCCTCTCAGTAGAGAGGTGGGCGACCACAAGTACAGAATGTTGCATGTGCTATCACATTTTAGGGGTTCCATTAGTTCTGTTTA